CTTGATACCAACCAGTTTTTCACCTCCTCAATGGAGGGAACAACTAGGCTGCAAGACTTTAAAGGCAACACTCTCCGAGTTTTTACCAGCTCAGGCACCTGCAAGTGAGTAGCCTCACTAGGAGGGAAAGGGCTTCTGGGCTCTCGGTGTAGCTCTGGTGAGAGCGTCCAGATCTCATGTGTGTCCCCCATACCTGACACAGGGGAGAACTGCAAGGTGGCAGCCATGTCCTTACCCTTCCCTCTGAGATTTTCCGTAGCCGCTCTTCCTGCATTCCGGGTGTGTTACTGCTTTAGGGAGGGGTTCTAGAACCTCCGCTCTTCTCAGTGAGGGAAGGGCTTCGGCTCTTCTGTAAGGCGTTTCTGGATTAGACTAGACCTTATTTCTCACTAGTCAACATGGCACTGGCCTGGAAAGCCACTTAAAGGTTGGAGCAGGAACTAGGAATTTAAGATTTCATTCCCTACATCACTGGGGTGTGACGACGTGACCAGTTCCTTGACGGAAGCTGAAAGGGATAGAGTCCTGTCTGCAGAGCACATGGGACACCCCAAGAACAAGTGGCTGGAGAAATGACAAAATGCTCGGCACTTGGATTTCTGGCCGGAGGCATGCCTCTTACCGTTCTCTAAAGAATCCAGGGTATGTGTGAGGGGGGTCTAACTAGCACTGGGCGTTATCCTGGGTGGCCCCACAGAGGTCAGGGCGGGAGACGAGATAGACTCGGCTCCATGTTATTCGTCCACAAGAAACCCTCCCTCTGAAAGACGTTTGTAGGGGATTTGTAGGCACTGTAGCAAGGATTTGAGCGTTTGAGAGAAAGAAATATGAACCTGAGCTCCCCTAGCCGGGTTTTAGGGCCCCTGAAGCAATCCCAACCCCATCCCTTCATCCTCAAATAGTCTGAGACGAGACAGCAAGACAGAGCTCCTGAAGTTGTGCATGCTTTTTTCCCAAAATGTTCAGAAGGGGGCAGAAGTTCCTTTCTCACCAGCTCTGCAGAACAGAGCTGGGCAGCCCGTTTGGTTTGTCATCTCCTTTGGCCCAAAGGGTAGAGAGGGAAGGGAGAGAGCAATAAACGAGTCCTCCTCAGAACCCAGGGCTCTAGGGAGCAGGCTAGCCTGGGGACTTGCCTTATGGCTCTGAGCGGTGGCTGCTTCAGGGACTCTGACTAACTGGACACATTCCTAAGCCCCGTCACCCCATCCTCTCTGTCAAGACAGTAGACAAGTCCGTGGGCTCCTCGCTGGGAGTCTGTGGCAAGACAGTTATTCCTTCAGCAAATACTGATGGAACGTCTACTGTACACTAGACACTGGAGCTACAACAGGGACTGAATGGACCTTGCCTCTGTCCCCAAGAATCTTACAGCACAGTTTCTCCCTCCAGCTTCTGGTTTTGCAGCCTGGATGTGTCTGCCAGGAGCCGAATGGTGGTCACGGGAGACAATGTGGGGCACGTGATCCTGCTCAACATGGATGGCAGGGAGGTGCGTTCTCTGGAGCCCAGGTCCTCCCTTTCTCTCCCTAACCACCCCCCACCCCACCCTGGCCTCCCTGCGCCCCACCTGAACCGAGCCCTTCTCTGCAGCTTTGGAATCTGAGAATGCACAAAAAGAAAGTGACCCACGTGGCCCTGAACCCATGCTGTGATTGGTTCCTGGCCACAGCCTCCGTAGACCAAACAGTGAAAATCTGGGACCTGCGCCAGGTTAGAGGGAAATCCAGCTTCCTCCACTCGCTGCCACATAGCCATCCTGTCAACGCAGGTGTGATATACCAGACCTCATCCCTCCTGCCCACCCTGCCTGTCCAACCACTTCTGGAGTTTTCCCTCAATGTTTAGAAGCTGCTAGCTTAAACCTCTACCCTGAGAGCATCAGCCAAATGGATGTCTTGGAAACTTTCTGATTCTAGCTGCCTCCAACAGCTGCTCAGTTTCTAGAATTTTTTTTTTTTTAAGATTTATTTTTTTGAGAGAGAGCACAAGCAGGGGTTGGGGCAAAGGGAGAGGGACACACAGACTTCCCGCTGAGCAAGGACGCTGAGATCACAACCTGAGCCGAAATCAAGAGTCGGCGGCCTAACCGACTGAGCCACCCAGGTGCCCCAAGTTTCTAGAATGTTTTTGTTCACAGTCCAGATTCACCTCCTCCCTTCCACCCCTGCCTAGAGAGGAGTGGGAGAGAGGGGTGCCCCTGCAGGAGAAGGCCTGTGACAGCCAGGATAACAAGGGCCTGGGGTTCCTTCAGCTCTGGGGCTTTTCACTTGCCAGCTTGTTTCAGTCCTGATGGAGCCCAGCTCCTGACTACTGACCAGAAGAGTGAGCTCCGGGTTTACTCAGCCTCCCAGTGGGACTGCCCCCCAAGCCTGATCCCACACCCTCACCGCCACTTCCAGCACCTGACACCCATCAAGGTAAGTGATGGAGGCAGGGAGCTGTGATCGCGGGGACGGGCCGGGTCTGCCCGAGGTAGGGAGAGGCCAGATCTGGAAATCCCTAATCCCAGATCTCATCCTGTACCCACACGAAGCCATCTCTTCTCTCCTGGCACTCTCTGAACTTCTGTCCCCCTTCTGCAGTCCCATTGTGCTGGGTTTTCTTGGTCTCCCATAAGCTCTTCCTGGTTCGTTGGGCCCAGCCCACCTCCCTGCTGTTCTGCCGTCACCTCCAGTTATCTGCATGTGCTGCTGGTCCCCCAGCTGACCTCAGCCCCCAAGACTGACAGTCTTTAAGTCTTCTGATTCCTTCCTGCACATGCCCCAAGCAGCCTCAACTCTGCCCGTTCCTCTGCTCTCCTGGTTTCTGTTCTTTTTCTAGCACTGCAGCCCCTCTCCAGACCTCTGGGTTTCATGCCTGTACGTCTTTCATCAACATAGCATAGTGGTGGGGGCACCAGCTTCAGGTAGGCCGACACCCCCGGTTAGAGTCCTTGGGTAAGCTGCTTGAATTTTGGATCTCGATCTCGGTTTCCTCATCTCTAAAAAGCAAATAACAGTATCTGACGGACAGGGTTGTGGGAAGAATCCGTATACTTAAAGCACTTGTCTAGTGTCTGGGAAGTACAATGTCAGCAGTGATCATTTAATATTAGAGTAGCTCCCACATACCTCAAATCAAATACAGGCTCTTCAGAACAAGGGTTCTTCGCTGGTTGGTTCCCATTGATCTATGGGTCATCTCCCACTTTGTATCCAGCCAGGACAATTTCCAGCTTCCCAGGTGGGACTTGTGACTTATTTCTAAGCCATGGCACATACCACTCTGTCCTTCCTGCTAACCATGTTTTTCCTCCTTCAACACTTCCTTGCAATTTCTTAGGAAAACCCCATCTGATTCTGTCATTCTGACCAACTGCCAGATTTGTTTTGGAACATAGGGGAACATAGGTTTCCTTCCTTTTCTTGGCCACTAGCCATTTTCTGCTCAACTCTTCATCCTTCATGTTGATGGAGGAGGGACAGTAGTGGGATTACTTCAGAACTTATGTCCTACTTGGTTTTTGCTTGGTTGTAGGCTTTGGTTAATGTCTGGGTCAAGCTGATGTTAAAACATTTATCAGTTGGTATGATCTCAGGAAATACAAAAGACAGAAAAGGCCTGAAGACGTCCCAAGGTCCAGAGACGCCAATTTGGGGTTAAAAATTTGGGATGGTAGAGGCACATGAAGTTGAAAGCTGTTCCTGTAGTTTCATGTGGGTCTTATCTCCATTACTAAATTGCTAGCAATTGTATTAACAGTTGTGAGTGGCAAAGAATACTTTTGGTGTCCCTCTTGATAGTACTCCACATTTACTCTCCTGACAACTCTCCGTCTCCTAGGCAACCTGGCATCCTCGGTACAACGTCATTGTCGTGGGCCGATACCCAGATCCTAATTTCAAAAGCTGTACCCCCCATGAATTAAGGACGATCGATGTGTTTGATGGAAACTCAGGGAAGATGATGTATCAGCTCTATGACCCAGAATCTTCTGGTATCATTTCGGTGAGGTTTGGGCCCTCAAATAATGAGGGGAGGAAGCAGGGCTTCAACCTACCTTAACTGACCAAAAATGACCAGAAATTAATCCTCATATGCCCTTCTCCCAATACCTCACCTCCTCCTGATGCTTATGCCCTTGTCTCTGCAGCTCAATGAGTTCAATCCCATGGGGGACACGCTGGCCTCTGTGATGGGTGAGTGAAGCAGGTTGTATCTCAGATTGGCCAAGCCCTACCCTACCCCCCCAGGTTGAGTGCAGGCTCCCCTCAGCTTAGCCCTGCCAGTCACCCCAGGGTAGGAGTCAGTAAAGATTTACAGGAGACAGTGGACTCTTTGGCCTAGGCCCTCCATGCCTCTTGCTTTGTCTTGGTCATGACAATGCCTGGCTGCTGTCTGGTTTCCTGGTATTTCCTGACCAAGTCCTGGGTTCCCTGGGCCAGCCCCAAGTTCTGAGAGACTGGTCATGGAAGGTGCAAGTCAGACTGGTCTCACTCCTCCTAGGTTATCACATTCTCATTTGGAGCCAGGAGGAAGCTGGGATGCGGACATGAGAGACATTAATGAAGGTGCGGGCCAAGCCAGAGCTTGGAGCCACCTGAGAACAAATCCTCTGAGAAGAGGCGGCTGTGTGTTAAAGGGCCAAAGGTATCCAGGTCTTAGGGTCGGAGCAGGGACACTGTGGCATGGAACACTGTGGGACTGGGACACTAGCATGTTACTGCTCTGGACTTAGCTCCAGAAACTTCTCCAGGGTTGGTGCCCCAGGTGCCCCAAGGGTCCCTGCTGTATCTAGCCTGGAGCCAAGCTTCTCCTGGAGCCAAGGTACTTTTCTATTCTTTGATGAGCAGTGACAGAGGGATCAGGTAGTGGTTTTTGGTTTGTGCTCACTATTGACTTGGCTAATAAAACCATACCCAACTGAGCTTCTGAGTGGATCTTCCAGCACTGACCTGGTCAAAGGGCTCCTTGGGGCCCCCCAAAGAAGAAAAAGCACAGAAACAGCACTAAAAGTCTAGAACGTTCCTTCCCTGGAAGCTGCCTTAGCCCTCTTCTGGGCCACAGTCACAAGCTGTCCAGCTCACAACCTGCATTGGCCTCTGGTCGGTGGAGACCCCAGCCTAGCTGAGAGGGACAGTGGTGCCATGACTGTACCCCAACTCCCCACCCGCCCCCCGCCCGCCCCGGTACAAACACCCTTCTAACCTGCTCCATCTGCAGCATGACACACAGGCCTGAAGCAGTATGTCTGACTCTATGGCTTCAGGGGGGACAAAGGAAAACTTGCCTGGCTGGCCTCTGGGCGATCCGGTTCCTTAGTGGCCAGTTTCTGTACCTCCAATGTTGTGCAGTTTTTCCCACTAAAATAAGCACTGAGAGGCAAGACTGTGTCCTCTGAACTATTTGCCAAAAACTCCGGGCTGGAAGAGAGAGCAGGGCTTGATCAAGCACTAACTCCTTCAGTTTTTCAGGTCCTGAGTGAAACTTGAATACTTGTCTACACTTCTGGTCCTTAGTAAGCGTGGTGGAGGCCAATAGTGTCTGGAGGAAGCCAAAGTCCAACACAGTACTTGGTGAACAGGGAGGCACGTGAATGCTGAGTGACAGGTGCCTTGGGCCAAGCCAAGTCCCACTTGTTCATCTAGGTTGGGGTCATCGGAGGGAGGCCATCCCAGGGTCTCCTGTCCATGGGCTGGGGAGCAGCAACAATCAGGAGCAAGGGCCCAGCCCACCTCCCCTAGGAGGCCGAGGGAAGGGGGCTGAGTGGTTGTCAGGCATGATCTTCCCCGTCTGCGACATGGCGGTAGCCAGGAGGCTGGGCCTGCATCCGGAAGAGGACGGTGAGGAGCAGCACTATGAGGAGGAAGAGGATGGAGCCACACACAGCCAGGGCCACAATCACCTCTGCGCGGCGGGGAGGGAGAAAAACGGCATCTCAGTGTTCACCCGACAAATAGCTATCTACCGTATGCCAGGTGCTCTTACAATGGAGACATACACGGGTTAGTGACAAATGCAAATGCTATAAAGAGAAACAAAGCAGGGCCGCCTGGGTGGCTCAGATGGTTAAGCCTCTACCTTCGGCTCAGGTCATGATCCCAGGGTCCTGGGATCGAGCCCCACATCAGGCTCCCTGCTCGGTGGGAAGCCTGTTTCTCCCTCTCCCACTCCCCCTGCTTGTGTTCCCTCTCTTGCCGTCTCTTTCTCTGTCAAGAAATAAATAAAAAATCTTAAAAAACAAAAACAAAAAACAAAGCAAAGCAAAGAGAAAAGGATGGAAAGGAAGGTCAGTCAGGGAAAGGATCACCGAGGAAATGACATTTTGACCAGAGACCTGGAGTCACTGAGACACTTGGACCTGAGAGAACAGGGTCTTGGGGCAAGGGCGGAGGGGGTGGGTAGACAGGAAGACAAATGGCCCTGATGTGGGAGTAAGTCTGGCATATTCTAGGATCAGCTATGAAATCAGTATCCCTGTAGCAGAGTAAGTGAGGAACAAAGAGATCAGAGCAGAGGATCAGACAAGAAACACCTGGAAAGCCATGGGGAAGAACTTGGATTTTGTTCTCACTGTCATGGGAAGCCACTGGAAGATTCTGAGAAGGGTAGTGATGTGAACTGATTTTTATACATATATATATTAAAATTTTCATTTATTTGACAGAGAGAGAGAGAGGAGAGAGGTAGGCAGAGGAAGAGGCAGAAGCAGACTCCCTACTGAGCAGAGAGCCCGATGTGGGGCTCAATCCCAGGACCCCGGGATCATGACCTGAGCCGAAGGCAGACGCTTAACTGACTGAGCCACCCAAGCACCCCAAGAGGATGTATTTTATTTTATTTTTTTTTAAGATTTTATTTATTTATTTGAGAGAGAGAATGAGATAGAGAGAGAGAGCATGAGAGGGGGTAGGGTCAGAGGGAGAAAAGCAGACTCCCCACTGAGCAGGGAGCCTGACGTGGGACTCGATCCCGGGACTCCAGGATCATGACCTGAGCCGAAGGCAGTTGCTTAACTGAGCCACCCAGGCGCCCCAAGAAGATGTATTTTAAAGGTCAAGCTGATAGGACCCACTAGTGGACTGCATATGGGGTCTGAGAAAGATGGTATTCAAGAGGACTCAGGGTCACACTACGCAAGCAGGTGACTAATGTGGCATTCACTAAGATGGGCAAGCCTGAGAGATGGGTATATTTAGGGATAAGAGTGTTTGGTTTCAGACATATCATCTTGGGATATTTAGGGATAAGAGTGTTTGGTTTCAGACATATCAACTTGGGAGATCTCAAGTTAGCCACTGAACATGTGAGTCTGTAGCTCAGAGAAAACGTCATGAATCTGAGTCATAAAAGGATAGAACTTTGCATGGAGGTAGTATGTGAAGCCACGAGGTTGGCTGGGATTGCCCTGGGACTGGGCACAGATGGGGAAGGGCCAGGATGAGACCTGGGCCATCCATTGTTTAGTGGGGAGAAAAAACCAGTAAGGAAGTTAACTGTAAGTCAGAAAAAAAACCAGAGAAACCAAGAAAGTGTCTAAAAAAGGAAGGGTCTATTCTATCATGCCCCTAAAAGATAAGAGAAGCTAAGAATTGGTCAGGCTTTGACAAGAGGCAGCCACTGGTCCTTTACGAAAGTGGCTTCACTGGAGAAGGTGACGCAAGGCTGTCTAGCATGAGTCTGACAGAACGGGCACTGAACAAGCAAAACCAGAGTCTAGGCAAAGGATTCCACTTTCACAGGGAACAGGGACAGAGTGGTGGCTGGAGGAAGATGGGGCCCTGACAGGTCTTCCTTACACTTTCAAGATGGGACTGACCCAGTCAACAGGAAACACTGAGGCCCCACAAGTCCCTGTGGAAGTGAGAAGAGATGGACCCGGAGCGTCCGTGGAGAGCTTGGCCTTAGGCAGTGGCTCACACCAGCAAGCGAGCTGGAAGATCTGCTGGTGGGAGGATGAGCCCCTGCTCTCCTGGACAGCACTGTTTTCTCAGGGATATGAGAAGGGAGGCCATCGCCTGAGAATGAGGAGGAGGGAGAACGTGAGGGGTGGTCTCAGGGTGGGGAAGTGAACCGTCTGGGGAAATGAGTGAGGGGGTTAGAGATGCAGCCGCTCTCTGGAGACCTGTGGGTAGGAACTGCAAGTTGTTCTGGGATGTCCCTCACAGAGGCAGGCAGCAGCTCACCTGTGTCCGCAGGGCCGCTCGCCAACTGGCACTCCTGCTGCCAGTCCTTGGGCACGACGGGCTCTGTGAGGTGAAGAAAGTCCTGCAGTGGGCAGCGGTGAGCACAGCCGGGCAGGACCAGGGGCCAGGGAGCCTTGTTACTCTCATTCCGAAAGTACATCTCCACTGAGAAATTCCTGAAGGTTGACAGGAGACAAGACGGAAGCTGCTCCGCAGGCCTGTAACTGAGCCCTTGGGCTGCCCACAGCCACCACACGAGGGTCCCTCCAGAGGGCAGACCCGTGGCTACACTCACCCATTATCTTCCTGGTACAGTTCAAATATGTGGCAGGAGGCATAGGGGGCCTGTTCCCCATTGTACACGTCCAGTGCCATCTGCAGAGCGACCAGGGTGGTATCGTGCTGTAAGAGAGGGGAGCTCCCCGTCAGCATTGCGTACCCCCCCAGCCTCCACACCCAGGCACTGGAGAGAGAGGAAATCCAGCTCCCTGCTTGACGTCAGCACACTGGGGACTACGGGAGCTTACCGCAGAGTAAACCAGCAGCTTAGGAAGCTGGGAGGAGGTAGCCATCAGGGTGAGGTTCTTCCGTATCTGAGCCAGCAGGACTCCTGAAGGAGAAGAGTCCCCAGGGTCAGTGGTGCCAGCTACCCCCGTCTTCTGACCAGACCTATCTGTGGCCCTTCACCCTGTGCTAGTCCTGGGTCTGATCACCTGCACAGGGAACTCTTCTTGGGGGCATGGGAACCACGCAGGAAGCTCCCCAGCACCCCGTTCTCTAAGATCGTTCACATTTACAGAGGGAAGCAAGATAAAACGAGATATCCGTATTTCAACAAAGATCTAGAGACCTGCCCATTTATAAACGAGCCGCAAGGCCCTGCCTGTAACAGAACAATTACTCCAGTCTGGAACAAATAAAAACTTCAGGTTGCTTCAGAACACACAAGATGGCGGCTGCGCATGGGAGCCCTGCCACATGCGGGCTCGGGAAGGTGTGACAGCCGGCCCTCCCTTGGGTGCTCGGATCAAGAAACTGGCATCTGTATTACTCTCAGCCTTCTTGTAAAGTGGCCCCTGGTGGCTCTCTGGAGGTAGGTATTCATTTAAGGAGACAGAGAGTCTTCTGACATGGGTGACGCTTAAGAATATGAATGGTAGAAAAGAAGCACACAAACTCTGTCTACAGTGACAGAGGAGCTAAGCATTTGGAGCACTGGGGAGACCTCAGTGGCTAATGGGGGAGGTCTGGTTTTGAAGGGGCAGATAGCACCACAGCTGGAGAAGTAAGTGTGTGAGAAGTTTTGGTTTTTTTTTTTCAGTTTGCTTAAAAATGAGTGAGAAGATTTTTAATGCTGCAGGGTCCTGAGGAGGGGAGTGACTCGCTGCTCTTGTCACTCACCCCCCTGAAGCCGGGCCTTCTCTGCCTGCTCGTAGATCCCGAAGAGGAAGCGGAAGCTGAAGTCCTTTAGCTGGCTCAGACGCTGCATGGTTCGGGGTGAGGCCCAGGGTGGCAGGACCAGCCCGTGTGTTTGCTGTGTATCGCAGCGGGCAGGTTAGCTCTCCAGGCCTAGGCCAGAGACTCTCCAGGGACAGCTCTCCTCCCCAGCGGGAAGGTGCCTGTGTGTGTGTCAGGGAGGGAGAGGAGACCTGAGGCTGAGGGACTGGAACCAGGAGACATGGCAGACAGGACACAGGAAAGGAAGCTCAGGCACGAAAAGTGTGACTCAGCAGAATGGAGTCGGATACCACGAGAGTTCTGGGTGGAGAGGGGCAAGAACTGCTGACATGTAATAAACCATTTCCCACTCTGAGGTTCTTTTTCACCCGTGAGGGAAATTCCTTTGTTTCACAAGAAGCAGCTTGCCTGGACCTCCACAGTGGGAGTGGTATCCAGGCACTGTATGCTACTTGTCCAGCTCACCTGGGCCTGTGGAAGTGTGAGGGAAGAAAGGCCATACCAGGGACCCTAAGTGGGCTCACCTCACAGAAGAGTGTGTCATAGACATTCCAGACGGTCTCCAGTGTCACGTCTGTAAGCCCTGTCTCGTTGGCCACCATATCCAGAAATTGCTATGAAAAATGGATCAAGGGGATCAGTACCGCCCTGGGGGAAAGGACCAGTGTGCTGACCTCCACCTCAGCCCCACTCACTGCATTCTGAATACTCTCATTCTGATACTCTGGTGTCTGTCGGGTCTTGTTCTGCAGCTGCTCGTAACGGGGACATGGGCCCAACGGGAACTTCAGCAGCTGCAGACCAAAGTGGGGAAACAGAGGCAGAGAAGGAGTTGGGGATCGACATGCTCATGGCCAGAGTCATCCCTCTCACCGCCTCCAGGGAAGGGCTGGCCAGTCTTACCCTATCCTCAGCGATGGGCACAGTGTGGACAGGGATAGGTTGCCAAGAGATATTTGGGTTGAAACGCTGCATCCCACTGGGAGGGAAGAGTCCAGCCAGGTTGGCCTCAGCACTCATGAGAGTACGGTCAAAGTCTGTGCTTCGCACGTAAACCTGCGGAGGACAATACCAGTCTCACCTGTGGGGGTGGGGTGGGCGAGCTTTGGCCCCTCGGTGGGGCCGTAGCAGAAGAACCTGTTCTTGATGGTTACCCAGCAAACTGTGGCCCTCTCCCCTTCTCTGACCTTCCTTGTCCCTCTTCTCAGCAAAGGCCCAAACACTCAGCTCAGGGCTAGCTGTCACCACTCTGTGAAGAACTCCTGTGGGAATGGCTCTAGTTCAAATACCTTCCCAGTCCCAAGTGCTTAGTCACTAAGGTTGTCAGTTCTGTGTCTGGTTTTCTAACAACGCCTATCTCCCTATCAACATCAGGGTCCTTGAGGGCAGAAACTGTCTCCAACCACACACACCCCTTTATGAAGTGGCTTAGAGATCAGGGAGAGGAAAGAAGGAACAGAGATAATTGCTTGTGCAAAGGGAGGAGGAAGCAGTGGGGCAGGGCAAGACCAGGATAGAGCTGGACCTCAAGGGAACAATAACATCGAGAGACTCTTGAGATGCCTGTGGCCCACAGTGGTAACCAGAGGAACAGTGATCCCCATCCTTGGGTAGAGGGCCTCAAGGAGCTGCAACACTTGCCAATCTTCCCTGACACGCCTTCTCTACATGTGAGCCCTGGGTGGTTTATCATCTGTCACCCCCACTACATTCTAAGCTCCACAAAGACAGAGATCATATCTGTGTGGTGCGCCATTACATGCAAATGCTAGCAGAGCACTTTGCCCTTAGTAGGTAATCAATAAGTGTCTTGGATGGAAAATCCAGGTTATTTCAAAGAAACAGAAAAGACTTTGCCAGGCCCTTAAGTCTGAGCTTGGATGCTTGATCTGTTTTGCCCTTTCCAAGTCAAGGAGGGGCAACTTGGTCTCTAGAACTGTTCTACACAGCTCTTGGATGTCTCGTCCTGTAGGTGTAACCAAAAATGCATGGAAGGAGGCCAGAATGTCCCAGGCTCCCTGAGGGCAGAGGGTGAGAACAGCAGGTTCCATTTCCCTGTCTCTTGAGCTCCCAGCCTTACCTCTTGCCGGTGGTAAGAGGTGTTGAGAAAGCCGTGGTAGCGCTGCCGCAGAGCCTGGCCCAGCTCCCAGTGCTGTTGCATCCCCTCCTGTGGGGAAACCCAAGAGTTAACAGGGAAGGGACAGCTTGCAAGTCCCACAGGGCTTAGGCACTGTTGCTTTCCAAATTTACCCTGGCTGGAAGTAGGAGTGGGTTAATCTGATCACAGAAGTTATTTATTAAGTGGCCCATTGTGTATGGCACCTGTCCTGGGCACAGAGGAAAGTAAGATTAAGAAATCTGATCAAAGTCAGCATCTACATGGGAAATGACAGTTTGGTGGGTTTGGTTCTGTACAGGCTCTCGAGGTCACTACAGTTTGGTTCTGTAGCCTGCTCTCGAGGTCACTCATTCTACAGCACCCCCGGAGTGGGGGCTGGCTTTCCACCCACCTTAGTTAGCTGACCAAACCCCTGAGGCCACTCGTCTTCCTGATAGGGGTCCTTGGGATACGTCTTCACTGGCGAACGGTCTCCATGTCGGTACAGCTGAGGAAAAGAAAATGGTTTGCCTACAGGTCAGAGGGTTCCTCGATGAGGACACAGAGCCCCCTGTTGGGGAGGGAAGCCCTACTCCTGTGAAGCCTTAACTCTGCCCACTGCAAAAGACCCCCAACTCGAAAGTCAGTAACTTTGAACAGGTTCCAGAGATTCTAATTTGGCCAACCAACGCCACTGGAGACCATAGACGAAGCCAAAGATACAGGTGGGAAAGAAAAAGAGAAAGGAAAGCAATGCAGGTGATGGGGGAAATAGAGGGAAAATCACCAAAGGCTTAAGGGTGAAGGGTGCGTCTCTTGACCGTTCGTTCTGTCCCAGGACAGACTCACCCGACCTATGCCCTGATATAGAACTACTTACACCCTGCCTGCTCCTCGAAAATAACTCGGGCTCCACACCAATTCCGAACCGGACCCCCACCTTCCAGGCCAGTCGTCTCCTCCTGAACAGGCTCCTGCTCCTTGAAAGACCCCGACCCCAGCACAAGCCCCGCCCCTCCCTCCAACAGCGGGCCTGTGCCCTTCCAGCTCTGGCGAACCCTTGGGCCACCGCATCTCTCATTACCAACGTAACGAAGCGCAGACTCCGGGCCTGGGTGGAGGGCATCACTATCAGGTTCACGCCAAGAAGGAGCTGGAGAAGAGACGCCCCGCTCCACGCAAACTGCCTGCCCGCCATCACCGCTAGAGACTATGCTGCAAAAAGGCTGGAACCCGGTGCGTGGCACCTCTAGCTGCCGCCCGGACGCACCCGTAAGGACACACGCCGGAAGTGCCTTCGCCGCCATCTTGCTAAAGGAGGGGCAGAGATGGTGGGAGAAGGAGGAATTTGGGAGGGAATGCGTGTAGGAGGCTCGCGATGCGGCCGCGGCGGAGGAGCGTGGGAATGTAGCGCAACCTCGCGCGGCAGAAGATGCTGAAGACCTCGTCATGGTAAAGAGAACCCCGAATTCGGCTTGGCCTCTGCCACGGAGATCCAGTAACAAGGTGGCGCCTGCTGTGGGCCGGACATTGGATGGGAGAGCGAGCGCCCCCTCGGGCCGGGGTGCCGCCGGGCCTGAGCTCAGAGCCAGAGCCGCTGCCGAATTGAGGCGAGGGTTGGGAAGTGTAGGGCGCCCTACGGCCTTCTGGTGGAATTTGAGCCTTGGCCCTGGCTCTGTTCCCCAGGGGAGGGCCCGTTTGGTGTAGGGCACAGCGTGTCAACAGTTCTTTGGACTCCCGAGCTCTTTAGGTTAGTCCCAGTGTAGCCTACAGCTCGAGCCTCTGAGCAAAGCTCCAGGAGACCTCTCACTTTCCCTTCCAGTCCTTTCCCTGCCCGCCCATCCTTCCACTTCCGAGTTTTGGATCTCTTGCAAGGTGTCATGCTTCCTCCGAAACGAGTGGGTTACACCGTATGTTCAGACTTTGCGAAACCAAAGCAGTGAATCCACAGGGGAGGAATTTCAGACCAGTGGGGAGATCTATAGGGATAAGGGGAAGGAACATATCATAAAGTGGGAGCAAATGGAGTTTCCACAGAATCAGAGGCCCTCTAGGCATTGGCCATTAGGATCCAGGTGCAGCCAATTTAGCTTCATGACTCTGTGACTGAGCTTGGTGTGACTCAGAGCTCCAGGATCACAGGCCCTTGGGATACTTCGATTCAGATCTGCCCCCTGGAAGTAAAATCACTTCAGATGGTTGGAGAAATAAAACCTGATTAGAACTATATGGGAGAAAGCAGGGTCATAATTTTGCCCTAGGACTTCGGATCCAATTATTTATATATACCTTACAGAGTTGTAATGGAGGAGTGAATAGAAATTGAGAGCTGAAGAATGGGTAGTCAAATAGTTCTTAATCTTCTTAGTCACAAGGGTCTATATGAATCAGATGAAAATTTACTCCCCTGTCTTCCGGAAAAATGTCCACACACACAAATGGAATTTTGCGCATAATCTCAAGAGGTTCATGAAGACTGTCAATAGTTTTCATAAGTCAGCATCTCTGAATCCCCATTCTTACTTAGTCCCCTTACTTTAAAGGATAAGGAAACAAAGCCAGAGAGGAACTTGTCCAAGGTCACAGAGTTTAGGAGAAGGGATTAAAATTCAAGTTTTCTGATTCCCAATTAGTCTTTATAATGGGCTACTTCTTGCAGGCTACTCAAACTGCATTGCTAAACCGTACTGGGTGACCCCCAAATACTTTCAATAGAGATTCTGACAAAGGAAACCTTTTCACATTGGTGGGGTTGAATGGGGCACAGCTAACGGGCAAAATTCTGCATATTAGTGGGAGTTCTTGAATGTTTCTTTTAATATATCCCTTACTCTTCTTGCACTGTAGCCAGACCTTTGTGATTTCAGAATGTAAATCTTGGGCTCATTAAATTTTGGCGAGTAGAACAAATTCATCTTTTGCTTTTCTTCCCACTTGCTAAAGTATGTCTGTATCCTTTGTGCCTGCAAGTATCCTATGTAGGAGGGATTGATGGAGCAGATATTATTTCATTTCTGTAGGGAGAAACAAATCCAGGAAGAGTGAAGATTCTACCACAAACATGGTAGAACCAAGAGCTAAGCCCTGGTTTCTTGACCCCCAGCTTCTACATATTTTTTACCAGATGATTCCGTGGTCTGCATACCTTGGTTCCTAACTACAGAATCAAAAAACTAGGCAGATGATAGATAGATAGATAGATAGATAGATAGATAGATAGATAGATAGATAGATACAGGGGCCTTCCCCAGACCAAATAAATCAGAATCTCTGAAAATGAGGCCAGGTTTGGAAACCACTGTTCCACCCTGTGTTGTCAGAAGCAAACCTAAATCCAGGTGAGTTAACCATTTTTTCCATCTGGGGAGGCAGTTTTGTGTGATGGAGTGAGGTATTTTTTTGTTTGTTTGATTTTGAGTTTGAGCTTTTGAGTCAGTTATACCTGTATTCAAATTTGGTATTTGCCCACTTGCTAGTAACTATCTCCTAGGGTTATATATGAGGATAAATAAAATAACACATGCAAAGATAAATATATGTAGTAATAAAAGTTACTTTTCTCCTTTTTGTCTGGTATATCATCTCTGAACTCATAGGCCTGGGAAGCAGAAATTCCTGGGTTCTTCTCTATCTTGTGATTGGAGGTTGGGCAGAAGTTGTTTGAGTGCCCTGCAAGATGACCCCCACACTCTGCATTTTTCCAGAATGGTGAAGGAGGGAGCAAGAACCAGTTTCCCCAGTTTGTCCCTCCAGACTGTACCTTGTGGCGTGCTTCATGGGATTTCAAGTATTTTCAGGGGAATTATTAAGTTGTACATGTGACTGGGAACTGGTGAATGCTCCTCTGTTTTTGCTTCAAGATTCCCCTTGCTTCAAGTAAAAGCCTCTGGAGGTTCTAGGGGTCACAAATGTGACCTGGAAGATCCCCAAAGGTTCTAGGATCCCCTAGGAGCCAAAGAAACCTAGGAAAGGCCCTATGGCACTGGGAGGCTTTGCACCTAACACCTGTGGGCTGGTGGGACCATTCTGTGGGGGTGGGTCTGGCAAAATGAGACGTGACCCCAGCTGCTGATCATCTGACTACTTGCTCTGGTTTGGGAGAGAAGTCCCAGTGGTTGGCCTGCAGAAACTCTGTAGAGATAGTGCCAACAGGTTTTGGTCTTCTCCTGTTTTCCTCTCCTTTCCCTTTTCATGGTGGGGGAGGCTCCTGAACCCCTGTAACCTGAAGGGGTAGCTCTGGCAGTAAAGCACAGCCAGTGCTTCCTCCTTCTCTACTTGAGATAAAGTGAACTGACTCCCTGGCTTGGAGGGGATGGTGCCCTGACCTGTTTGTTGAACAACTGGTGCTAGCCTGGGTCAAGAGGGCTCCCGATGGGGCTCGTGTGTGCTCGTGGGTCCTGGGCTACAGGGAGACTAAGATGTCAGGAGAGGGAGCTGAGGATCAGGAGTAGATGAGAGAGGTGTTTTCCAGCTCCCAGAAGATAGGTCATCAAGCCCCAGACCACGTTACAGCCCTCGTTCCTTGTAACCAGGTGTTGCGATGACATCTCTGGCTGTACTTCGGGGGGTGGGGAAAGGTGGAGGAGGGAACTGGATGGATGGTGTAGGTGCTGGGACAGGATGGTTGCAGTTTGCCGGGGGTTGGAGTCCCTGGTGTCTACTTTCCCAGGACAGCTGGGGCCTCGTGAAAATCGGGAAAGGAACACATGCAAGAGGAATGGAGAGCCTTGTGCTTGTGACTCAGAGATGCTCAGAGAAGGGTGGTGGCCTTATGAGGGGATGACCTTGTGGTAAGAAGGAACAAGAGCTCAAACTGGAGGCAGAACTTTGAGATGGGGGTGGGTGTCAGAGGGGCTTTTCTGAAATGTGAAAGTGAATACATGGGCAGATTTTGCAACACCACGCAGCCTGCTGTCTTCTCGAGTCTCTGCTCTCCAACCCCCGCCTGTTCCCCCGCCCCACCCTGTGCTTCCTCCCATCTCTCACCAAGCTCCTTCTCTGGTTCTGCTTTCCCTGTCCTTCTCCCACCCTGTTCCTCCACACCCTCTGTCCACTCTTTCCCTTTTCCCTCTCTTCCCTGGTGCCCTGTTCATCTGGTTCAATCCCTCTGGCTGCCTGCCCTGGCCCTCTGTCCTTCTGTCCTTTAATGTGGGGCCCATGGGAACTGGAGTTCACAGCAAAACAGGAAGAGCCTGGGAGCAGGAAACTGGGAGCAGGGCAGGGGGTGAACAACCAGCAGTAACCTCAGCTCCTCGCCTCCCACATCTGGACTGAAGCATCCCCAGGGTGCTCTGTCTCTCCCACTGCAGCCCACCAGCCCTAGCTTCTCCCATCTTAGTGCTTCACTGGTCCCCCAGACCTGAGAGGCAACCAGACGAGTGTTCCTGGACTCGGACACAGGAGAAAGAGCAAGCACAGGGACTAGAGTGAGGACATCTGGATTCTGATCCCAGCTCGGTCACTGTGTGTGGTCTTGGAAAGGGCCCTCCCATGAGCTCAGTGCTCTCTGTGAAATGGTGCTCCTCTTATTTACCCTCCCTCCTTCTTGGGGCTGCTTTAAGGACCAAAAGAGATAGTAAGGGGTTTGTATATGGAAACAAGCACTGGAAGGTTAACAGTGTACAGATTCGAGGTGATGGGAAGACCTGTAGATGAAAGGATTGAGAGAGGAATGATAACTGCTACCACTTCTTCAACACTTACTACGTGCCACACATTGAGCTATGTAATACGTGGTTGACTTCTCATGACAACCTTATGTGGCAAAAACCATTATTAATATCATCCCTATTTTAAAGGTAGGGAAACAGGTTCAGAGACATTATGTAACTCGTTTAATCAAGATCGCAGTTACTAAGAGGCAGAGGCAAAGCCAGGCCCAGAGCTCGGGTGCTAAAACAACGTGATGAGATTAAATGAACTAGAGTTAACAGGTGTAGAGGAGGATCATATTATTTTTCTTGTTCACCTATTCATTTAACAGACAGGAACGTAGTACCTACACTGTTGCCTGCTCTGTGCTAGGCCTTGTTCCATGGGCAATAAAATCAATAAAACATGGTATCTCCCTTCAGGGATGGATCTCACGTTCCAGGGAACAGGGCAGGACGGCTGTGGCTATAGTCTCAGTAGATGCCGGATAGAACCTACCATCACTTCAGATGGAACGGTTCCCAGATGTGAGAACCTGCATACCTTCCCAGGTCCATCCTGGGCTGGCACCTGGGTCATCTGCCATCTCCGCCCCTACCCCCATCCCAGGCCTGCCATTGCTCACATCTCGGTGGCCCCCTGCAGGGTACCGCCACTCAGAGACTCCCTGGAAGGATAAGCACCTGCCTCTCTACCCCTGGAGTTATACTAGTTTGGCTGAGGGCTGGGGCTAGTGGGGGGAGCTTTTTGGCCCCTTCCCAGAGGCAGGGGAGGAAGAGGGAGGCTGGGAAAGCAGGCTGGGGCTCAGTGTCGCAATTCCAGGCAGTGCCGGGACCTTTGCTCTACGAGGTGTCTATGGAGCGGAGGGAACATCGACTCTGGAGGCTGCCAGGATTGGGGTAGGGGTGCCGGGGAGGCAGTCCTTCTGTAAGAGCAGCTAAGAGCCACCGGGGTGAGGAGAGGAAGGGGAGAGACTTGAAACTGGGCTGGTCTACAGGAAAATGCAACTATCATGGTGGGGGGGGTGGCGGTAGGGGTGAGGCTGGACTGAGGGGGCGGGCGGGCGGGCTGGGGAGGAGTCAACATGGTGGGGAAGCTGCCCTGTGGGTGTGGGGGACGGCGGCCAGGGCTCTGGTCAGTTGTCTCCACTCTGCCGAGCAGGAAGGAGAAGTGGCCCGACCCCTTGGCAGTCCCTCCCCGCAGCCTTTCCCCACATTACTTCCCTGGGGCTCCGGTCCCTCACTTGCTCAACTCCGGCTCGGCTCCGCCAGCGTGAGGCCTCCAGACGGGATTGCACCGTCCTCCCTTCCCAGCAAGGGGGCTCCAGAGGCTGCCCCAGCCAGGCAGTCTGGTGGCCTGGGGGATTCGGTGGGTCTGCTCCTCAGCACTGGCCTGGGGCTCTGTGTGTGAGTCTGGGATTGGGGGGGGGTACCCTGTAGATCTTAGGAAAGGGGTCTCTGGGGAGAAGTGAAGGATGATGGTGATGGCAGCCCAGGTAGCAACAGGATTCTGTTTAGGTCCCAGAATAATTCCTGAGGGGTTCTGGGGGAGGGGGTCCTGGCTGTGAAATGGAGCGACTCCTGGAGGCAGGAGGTTTGTTCTGGGACCCTGGAAAGTGACAGCAGTGAAGTTACCTAACAAAAAGTCTTACTGGGTGAGTGAGCCTCGATCCCCTGCCCTAGTCCTAGCCAACTTTGGCTGTCCCCAATGCTGGAGGCGGGGAGAAGGGGCTCTGACAGAAGCTGGGCATATGTGCCCAAACACTCTGTGATGGCCTGGAGGGATCCCCTGGGGGAGAAAAGGTGGCAAGGTGGCCACCTTATCTAACAGCTAAGACTTTGGTCTCAGAGAGACCAGAGTTGGAATCTTGGCTCTATCATTGCCTGTGTGGCTATAGGCAATTTATTTAATCTCTTTGAACCTCAGTTTCCTCATCTATAAAATGGGCTTAAGAATAGTCATGACATCATAGGCATATCAAGGGGAAGGCATATAAAGCCTTAGCACAGGCTGGTATATACATATACAGCAAGTAAATGTTAGCGGGTATGTTAGTACTCGTATGATCAGGAGGAGAAGGTTGCTGAGGCCAGAAAGGAGCCCAGTTCTGAAGACTGTAACATGGGTCATTCCCGCAGGACAGCCCCCTTGGTAATGTCCAGGGCTCCGGGAAGAGATGTCCTTGTGGCTGGAGGCCCCTGTGCCTGATGCTTCTCCTGGTAAGCTTCTTCACTCCAGCCCTCTCCTCTGCGCTCAGGTCCCAGCTCCTCTCCTCCCTCAGGAATCAGCCTCCTTCACTACTTGCCTTCTGCCGTGCCCCGGAGAGCAGTTCAGAGTCGTTTTCGGTATTGCTTGCCTCCTTCTGCCCAGACTACCTCCATGCTGGGTCTGGTGCTGGTCCTTCTCAATGTGGGCTTGCTGCTGGGGAGAGTTGGCTTGTCTAGTGCTTACCAGCACTGGCTTTGAAGAGTTCTGTCTGACCTCTGAAGTGGATACACGTCAGCCCCTCAAGGGGACAAAGGTTAACATCCTCATCTAAGGTATTGAGGTGCAGGGGACTGCAAGTGACTAGCCCTAGAGCCCACACAAACTGCAGGGTCCTGAAGCCCACACAAACTCCAGGGTCCTGCTGCCCTCTAGGGGTAGAGATAAATTTGCAGTTTCCCAGAAGGACGCTGAGGGAGTGGACGGGAGAGACCTGAGACCGCCTTGTGCCTCTCTTTCGGGGCTCAGACTCTGCAGTGGAGCTGTGGGAGCCAAATGCACAAGATGCCGGCAGCCAGGCGCTGGGAGGCAACACTGGCGTCCTCAGGGAGGAAGCCAGCACTCCCCAATCTGCTGGGGGCTCTCTGGGGGCAGGGCTGGAGGCAGCAGAGCCCGCAGTCCTGCTCCCTGGGGTGGATACCCCTCCAGAGTCTACAGGTGAGGAGCTGTTGAATTTGGAACAGGTAGGGGCCCCCTGGATCTGGGAGGGGTACCTTAGGGCTGTTTACCTTATAAGATCATGGTTAAGTCCAAAGGCTTTGGATTCTACTACATTTGAGTGATCTGAATGTGAAATGTCTCTGCCTTGGGCCTTTCTGAGCCTCAGTTTCCTTATCTGTAAAATGGAAATAATAACAGTACCTATCTGTTACGGTTGTGAGGATCAATGCATATAAAGGGCTCAGGCAGTACCTAGGACGGAATAGCCCTTGGCACATGAGAGCTACTTTCTCATAACAGACTAGACAGCATACAGTGAAGGTGATGAAGGTCACTGAGTACTCAGGGCAGTGGCCAACTGGGCACCATGCTTTCTCCTTGGAGAAGAACATGAAAGCTCTCCCCTATATCCAGAGCTGCGTCCACAAAAGCGGAAAAAGGGGCCAGCCCCCAAAATGCTGGGGAACGAGCTGTGCAGTGTGTGTGGGGACAAGGCCTCCGGTTTCCACTACAACGTGCTGAGCTGTGAGGGCTGCAAGGGCTTCTTCCGCCGCAGCGTTATCAAAGGGGCGCGCTATGTCTGCCACAGCGGGGGCCACTGCCCCATGGACACCTACATGCGCCGCAAGTGTCAGGAGTGTCGTCTTCGAAAATGCCGCCAGGCCGGCATGCGGGAGGAGTGTGAGTGTCTGGGGACAGGAGTGGGGGGAAGAGGCTGGTGGGAAAGGGGCGCGGGGGTGTGAGAGCAGACAGGCAGCTGAGCCTACAGGGTCTTCCTGCACGGTCCCCAAGTATGGGTTAAAATCTCCTCCTTGACTTTACCCGATGCTCTCTGCTTTTCTAGAGCCTCAAACTACCCCCTGCCCCATCCTTGCTTCTTGTCTCCCCCGCTTCTCCCCTCTGCATGTCCAAACCTGTCCTTAGGTGTCTTGTCCGAAGAGCAGATCCGCCTGAAGAAACTGAAGCGGCAAGAGGAGGAACAGGCTCAGGCCACGTCCATGAGCCCAAGGGTGTCCTCACCTCCCCAAGTCCTGCCCCAGCTCAGCCCCGAGCAGCAAGGCATGATCGAGAAGCTGGTGGCCGCCCAGCAACAGTGCAACCAACGCTCTTTCTCTGACCGGCTTCGAGTCACGGTAACCGAGGGAACTGGAGCGAGGTGGCTGCGCCCAGAGCGCCCAGCGACTTCTGGATAGCTGACTCATTGTTGGTCATTTTTTCCGCCCTTGCCCTGCTGCGTAGCCTTGGCCCATGGCACCCGATCCCCAGAGCCGAGAGGCCCGTCAGCAGCGCTTTGCCCACTTCACCGAGCTAGCCATCGTCTCTGTGCAGGAGATCGTTGATTTTGCCAAACAGCTGCCTGGCTTCCTGCAGCTCAGCCGGGAGGACCAGATTGCCCTGCTGAAAACCTCTGCGATCGAGGTGGCTGGCAAGGCCGAGGGGTGAAGGGAGCACCAGGGTGGGACTGTCTCCGGCAGGGGCTTCCAGGCAGCCAGGTGGGGAGCCAAGGTGCCCCATGCCAAGACCAGCCTTCTGAGTCCCTGTTTGAGGTCTGCTCCTTGTGTACAGGTGATGCTTCTGGAGACATCTCGGAGGTACAACCCCGGGAGTGAGAGTATCACCTTCCTCAAGGATTTCAGTTATAACCGGGAAGACTTTGCCAAAGCAGGTAAGAACTGAGATCAAAAAAGGATCAGGTTGGATGGAAAGACACTTTTTGTCATCGGGCTCATAGTGACTACAGAGACACAGGCCCAGGGTTTGGATGGCTGTATGGGGAAGGCTACACTTGTTTTTCCAGGATAGAAAGTTGGGGTGGTGATAGGCCTCTCTCGGCAGCTCCAAAGAGACCCCTGTCCTCTGTTGCATTTGGCCAGTGGTTTTCAGTGTTTCGGGGAGCCTGAGGGGCTCCATAGAAGTGTCAACTTAGAGGAGGAACAGAGAGGCACAGGACTGTCTTTCATCCTCTCTTTAGCCAAACAAGAAACTCCATTTAATATTGTGCTTCTGTGTAATGTTTTGCTTGAAGAAACGATTTTGCAGCTAGAAAAAAGAAAGCTTGAAAACCGTTGCACAGAGCCTTTTAGTATTTACTGATGAACTTGATTGTGCTCTTTAAGGATCGTGTGGACTGATTTTGCCCCCCACTCTTTTTCAGTTGCTTTTTCTGAAAAGCTAAAAACATGCTGAAACATGGCAATTTTAGGGCAGTTTTAGGATAAGAGTAAACACTCCCATCCCCATGCTGCACCTGGGGAATTAGTTCACGATGCTGCTCTTTGCTACTTGCTTTCGGGCTAAGCAATGTTGGTTTCCTCATATTCAGTTGTTGGTAATGTTTGTGTTATGGGAATGGGGGTGGGAAAGAATGGAAGGCTGAGGGTGTTTTGGAGAGACTAGAACTTCGGCTCAACAGGAGGCCGGGTAGTTGAACACCTGAGGCAGTGGGTCTGTGAAATAGGGCTGAGGCTATGATTCCATTCTCGGGGTTGGTAGGTCCTGGTTTCCAGGGCAGAGCTCATAATCTTCTCTGGTTTCTGGTGACACAGAGCAGCTCATGTCCCTCTTGTTCCAACACAGGCCCCCCCAGTGAACTTTCTAGGAAGGCCTCCCTTAAACTCTAGGGCATGGCCGAGCTCTGTGGGCATCTCCTGCCTTCTGTAGGGCCCCGTGTGCTGCTGGAGTGTGTAGGCACCTAATGGGGCAATTTGATGACTTTCTCCAGCTTTCAAAGCCCAGCCCTGCTCCCTTTATCTGCCTGGTCCCCAAATGCTTATTATCCTCGTCCTTCCAAAGCATGGCACTGCCTCCTTCCAAACACCCTCCTTTCTGAACCCTTTGCCATTCTCATGTCTACGGGTGTTCCTTCAGCACATGTGGACTCATGCCATCTGAATCAGCACCTATTTATCGATTCATTGACGTAAGCAGTTTAGATGCCATCATGTTTGCCTTTCTTTTCGTCAGTGAGGTCTTAGGGAGGAGGGGCAGGGCCTCTCTTTTGTCAGGTCTCTGTCCATCTGCATCCACTACCGTGTGCTGCCTGCGGTGGACAACTCAAGATGTGGATCGATAGCAGCGGAGGCGCACGTTCAGCGAGCATGAGCGGCCCTGGCAGGGCGCATGGCCCAACTCCAGCACCTCCTCATCCTCTCTGTACAAAGGGGCCGTTCAGCACATTTGGAGGCTCAACACTCCACCAAGAAAGGCTTTATAAAATGGTGCTTATCCATTAAATGTCTCAACTGTCTCAACACACACTTGATAAACATCAGGGTGAAAGTACAGGAAGTGACTAATCAGGAAGCCTCGAATGGAAAAGTTAGCAGATGGCTGCTAAAAGAAATCTGAGAAAGCCTAGGGGACAGGGTGGGGTGGGGTGGGGAGACTTTGTAATGGGAGAAGTGTTCTTTAGATGTCATGACTGTAGGTCATGGTTTGTTGAACTTTACTCTCCTCGGCAAGAAGATTGGTTCTATGTTTTACGTTTATTCATTCATTCATTCATTCATTTATTTAACAAACACTTATATAGTAGTTTACCATTCTAAGAACCCATTATGAGGTAGGTACTATTATTATCTCCATTTTACAGATGGAAAAACCAAGGCCCAGAGAGCTTAAATAACTTACCCAAGGTCACACAGCCTAATAAATGGTCGAGCCAGGACTCAAACCCAGGCACTGTGATGCCACAGTCCATGCCCTCGACCACGTTGCTATGTTTCTGCTGGGACGTGAAACATGAAATGTATCTCTGGTATTCAAATAAGTAAGGCCAATTGCCAGTGAAAAAGTTTTCTTTGTAAACAAAAACAAGCATTGCCTCTATTTCTAGTAATGTGGGGCCCTGGAGAATTCCAGGGATAGCAGGTATTATCATTGAATCCACACCTCCTGTGTGCCAAGCACAGCACTACATGCTTTGCCTGCTTTGTGATTTCACCATCACCACAATCTTTTAAGTTCAGATAGGACTCCCAGCTCACAGAGGAGGCTTAGAAAAGTTAAGAAACTTGCCTAATGTAGCCCAGCAGAGTCCTGAAGTCTTCTTAGCGAGTTCCTAACAGTTCCCCTAAGTTGAGGAGTTGGAGGAGAGAAGGAAGTTCCTGCTGCCCATGCTGCATGTCCCAGCCTCCCTTCTTCCTCCCCAGGGCTGCAGGTGGAGTTCATCAATCCCATCTTCGAGTTCTCCAGAGCCATGAATGAGCTGCAACTCAATGATGCCGAGTTTGCTTTGCTCATTGCCATCAGCATCTTCTCTGCAGGTGCGAGGAGGTGCAGGCAGGAAAAGGGGCAAGAGATTTGCACCAAAGGGGGCTGCAGGCCCCATAGGGCAGGAATTGTGCGAGTGGAAGCCCTTGCTGTGCTACTTTGGGGAGGGGCTGGGTGGGGCATGTCCCTATTTTGGGGGTTATGATTTGGGGTATGGAACTAAGACCCTGGCCAGACCTGCTCCTCAGCTCTATTGGTGACCTATAGACCGGCCCAACGTGCAGGACCAGCTCCAGGTAGAGAGGCTGCAACACACATATGTGGAGGCCCTGCATGCCTATGTCTCCATCCACCATCCCCATGTGAGTCTCCCCCTGCATTCCCCCCTTTTTCCTCCTCCCCACAGACCCATCCCCTGACACACCTACTTTCCCTCTAGAATCCTTCCCTGACTACATCTTGCACAGACAATTCACTACCTTTCCCACAATTCCCCTACCCTTGCCCCCTTCCCTGGGAAGAGACAGAAACTGTACTTATCTCTCTCCTTCCCCCAGGACCGACTGATGTTCCCACGGATGCTAATGAAACTGGTGAGCCTCCGGACACTGAGCAGTGTCCATTCAGAGCAAGTGTTTGCACTGCGCCTGCAGGACAAAAAGCTGCCCCCGCTGCTCTCTGAGATCTGGGATGTGCACGAATGACGGCTCTTCCACCCACCCCCTATCCCCCATATCTTCTGTTTTCTGGGCTGGAAGGCTGAGGCGCCTGGCTGCTTCCTAGAGGTGAAGCAGACTGAGAAGTGCAAACATTCCTGGGAGCCGAGCAAAGGAGATCCTCATGTGGCATTAAAGGAGAGTCAAAGGGTTGGGAGTTTGTGGCTGCTGGGCAGTGGAGGGTCCTGCTAAAACTGTGCTCCATTTGAAGACTGTACTGCCACAACCAAATGGATGGGCCTGGGGGCCACTTTGCACAAGGTTCTGCAGCGCCCTGCCCGTCCTGCCTCCACCACTTCCTGTTTTCCCCGCAGGGCCCCGAGAGAAATTCTCTACTGTCACTCTGCGGCTTGGCCATAAATGCCTCGGGGCTGCCTCACTGATAGGCCTGGCGCTGTTTGTACAGAAAGACCAAAAGGAAGACAGAATGAGAGAAACCATTTCTCTTGGGGGTGGGGGCACGGCCACGGAGGAGGAAACCGTCCTTTAGGATCTGCCTCCAGACGCAGAAGAGGGAGAAAAGGCACAGGTGACAGCCTTGGCAGTGACAGGGTACCTCCTTTTACTAGTCCTAGGAGGGTAAATTAAATGCTGAGGCTTAGATACCCCTTTCCCGTTTAATGATCCAGGTGGGATCAGGTTGTCTTTCTGAGGGGAGTGTGGGTGAATTTTCAGAACCTAACACCCCAGCCGTGCACCTGTCTTCGTGCGCGCCCCCATAATGCCTCGGGTTTTCCGTTGGTACCTAAAAAAAAAGGGGGGGGCACAACAGTCCGTGCTCTAGAGCCCCAGGCCCTGTGGGACGGGAAGACAAGTGCCCTGAGGCCAGGGGGAAGCTGCCCCGTTGTGGGTTGGGCCTGTCAGAAGGGCTGGACTCCATTTCTCAGAGGACGCGCGGCACCGTTCACGCCCCCTTCGCTCTGCGCGCTCCAGGGTAGGTGAGACTGCGGCCGGGCCTTCCGGCCTCGGTCCCCCCCGCCGTCCCTGAATTGGTAGGCTCCACCTCCGGGGCAGCCGGCTTTGCAGCCCAGACTGCTGGGCACTTCCAAGCCGCTAGCGGGGGGAGGGAGGGTGAGGTGTGGGGGACGCTCAGAAAGTCTCAGGAGCAGTTTTATCTTGAGAAGTCGCTTCCGGATCATTCCACGTCTCGTCGAAATGGGCTCTATTACCATGTCAAATTAAAATTTCTCTGTGCAACCTAAACAAAAGGTATTCCTTTGGGTCCTCCCCGTGGCTGGCTTGGCGCTGGGCTGGCCCAGCGCTCCCCATCGCCTTCCCACTCCCACACGGAGAGGTGTGTGCGTAGCCGCCTTTCTCCGGAGGTTGGCTCCACCCTTCAGCGCTCGGCTTGGTGCAGCCCTGTAGCCCCCCCCCGGTGGTGCGTGGTACAGCCCCCGGCCCCCTCAACCTCCCCTTCCCTCACCGGCTCCGAGTGGTACGCGCCCCCCGGTGCCGACACGGAACTGGCGCGCGCTCGAAGCGGCGCTGGCGCCGGCGAGCTTCCGACGCTCTGCTGCCGGGCCCGTCTGGCTGGGCCTGGCCGGTTCCCCAAGGCTCGGGAGGTAGGAAGGTCTAGGCCACTGGGGGTCCTGGAAGGGTATTTGGGATGGGGCTCCCCGGGAGAACGGGCTTTGAGAGGAAACAGGGGCTCTAGGGGGAAGCCGCGTCTGAAGAGGCCCTAAAGGAGTGTGGGTAGGGGGCATGGGGTCTGCAGGGGAAGGGGGGGGTCCGTAGGGAAGGGGGCGGGGCTAGAAGTGAGGGCGCTCAGAGCCGCCGAAGAGGTGCGGGCTGCCGGACTGGGCTCAGCTCACCGAGGCTGGGCTCGATTCCTGCCGGGCTGGCGGGTGGCGCTGGTTCGGGGCGTGGGCGAGGGAGAACTGTCCAGCAGGTGAGGGGGCGGGCAGAGCTGTCTTGCCGGGGACCGAGCCGGGATAAGCACCTGGCGCCCCCGCGTGCCTGAGTGTGCACCTTGTATTTGATCACGGTTTGGAGATCATGTTTGGTTTTTCTGAAAAAGAAAAAAAATTTTTTTTGGTGTTTCAAAACAGGCTTTTTGGAGAGTCGAGATACCATTTCATCTTTCCTGCAACTGCTTCCCTCCCCATCCTCGTGCATCTCTAAATTCTTCCTCTTCCTGTCCTCCAGCCTCTTCTTCTTCTCCAACCCTGCCAATTGCTTGCCTCATTGCTCTCGTTCTCCCCCACGCTGACCGGTCTGTGCTGATGCACTTGCAAGGTCACTGCCTGGGTAGGAGGGGAGAGAGTCTTCTCTTGTGCTCACGTCAGCAAAGATGTCATCTCGCTCTCCGGTTCCTGTGGTTTTACTATGACATTCTGCCCCAAACGAAGGACTAATCCAAAGCGTTGCTAAACGTGGCCATTTGTAGGCTGAAAAGACATAGAGGACTTAAAGGTCTGTGGATTCTAAATCTGCGTCTGGATGGAGTGGATGAGGAAGCAGATGGGTATGCGTTTTGAGCTTGATGCCTTTGGAATATAGGTGCTGAGAACCAGGGACTCCCGATTAGTAAACATGATTGAAGCAAAAGGCAGAGTCTGAGTCTGGGTTGATATGAAGACAGGATGTGAGTTATAGGTGATGTTAGTCTTTATGGGGAGGGGAGAGAATGTGGAGAAAAGCCTATCTCTACAATCTGAATAACCGGAGGTAGTGGCTGTTGATGAGATATGAAGTGTGGCTAAAAATCTATCCTATCACTAGTGCTGGAGTAGTCACAAGATCTCAGGGTCCTTGTGGTTCTGGAGGGAGAGGAACATGGTAGAGCATGATAATGACTTGAGTTTTAGCAAATGATTCTCAGTGGCAGGGCTGAGATCCCCCTAAGGCCTGATGCACTAATAATATATTAGTAGAAGATACTTCAGGTGTGATTGTTGAGATTCTGGCAGGAAAGGGCTCCTGGTTTTCAGTATAAACGTAGATTTCAAGTCTTAGCCTTGAGCTCTGGCCCTATAAATTCTGTTTTAAGATACACTGGCTCTCACCCTAAGCATTTTCCGTATAATTAAAGAAATATGCTTTTTACCCATGTCCCTTTTCATTTCTCTATTTCCCTCCCCTTCTTACTCTGCTTGAGAGGACCAGAGAACAACTTTATAACAGTGCCCCACCTCTGCAGTTTGCTCATGATTCCATGGCACTGGAGAGAACCAAAGGACTTTTGGGGTGGTAGTAATACCTAGAAATGAGTATATGGCATGCATAGAAACTTGGTTTTGGTTGCATGGAGAGAAGATATCTCTATCAAAATCCAGAACTAGAACAGAGTATAAACTAAAAATAGATGGGGGAGAAGATAATCTAATAATTAGCAGGTGCTGCCAGTGGAAGAGGTGTCTTTAGATTCAAGGAGAATGAATTGTTATGGCCCTGGCTGACTCTGGAGTAGCAGCTGCTGGCACTGTGCGGTCACCAAGCAGGGGAGGGGCTGTGGCTATGCTATAAATAGTCCTGGGCGCCACAGTCACTATGGAGACAACACCAAATCCTATTACCTGCAGGTCCTCTATTGGGAGCAAGAGAAGGGAGGGAGCGGTATTTTGAGGATTCGAGAGTATTGCAAAGCAGTCTATGTATTATTAAGGAGAGAAGAAGAAAGATAGAACTTCTCATTATCTAAATCAAATAGAATCCTAAGCACACAGGGATTATGCTTGTCTGGGTGTGGGAGTGCACGCCACAGCAGAGAAGGGAGTGACGTGTGTGTATGTAGTATAATGGGAATATCTGTGTGTATAGCGAAGGAGGTCTTAGTGTGATTATATGTGGAGTACAGAGGTAGAATCCTCTACCCACTGAAGATAGCCTTGTAGTGGAGTGAAACATTTTACTTAGAGAAGAGTGTGGAGACCCAACAGGACATAAATTATAATTAAGACCACGTAAGCTTTTCCTACTTTTTGGACTATGGTTTAGAAATTCCTCTGAGCACCTCTCCCTGTCCTTGTAGAAATTCTGTTATTTCTGCATCTAATTCTTAATTTGTGTAAGAGGTACAAGGACAAAGTCTCATCTGTGTGTATTGTATCACTGATTCCAGGCCTAGAACAGAGGAGAAAGACTATGATTCAGCACCAAGGGCAGAGCTAGTGACGGTAGCCAGTGGGCCCCTTTCTTGCTTGAAGAGGGAAGAGAAAAATGGTTTAGATGAAGCAATTGGGGCATAGATATTCTTCATCTGAGAGTGCACAGGGTAGAGTAGCCCACCGTTGTTACCGTCTGAGTGCATGAAGTATACAGTTTTTATGGTAGTTTCACATGGAGCTGAATGCAGAATGTTGAAACAGAAAATAATTAGGTTTTCATCTAGGGGTAGGAGTACAGATTAGTGCTGATGAGAGTCTGGTTTGATCCTGATCCACCCTGGACCTGTCCTTAAAGGGACTTAGTTTTTGTTATCATAATGACTGAGTCCAGATGAGACTAACTGGGTCTGTTTTTTCAGAAACAGAGCATCAGGAGTGAGGCTGGAAATGGGCTGCTTTGTAGGGATGGGGGAGGTGAGCCATTTTGTGTACTACTTCTTGACATTTGGCTCTGTGATTTCATAAGCCTAGACCAAGCTCTGGGCTAGGAAAAGCGTCATGTTCTCCCAGTGTCATGTTCTCCCATCATCAGGACTACAACGGAAGCCCTGTCGACCTCTGACCCTGGCTGGAATAAAGCTGAGGGGGATGAGTCCCTTGGGCACAGCAGTGGCTTTTATCAGTACTTTTTTCCTATTGGACTTGAATTTTCAGATAACATCAGAATTCCTCCTGGGAACATTGACTCCTTGTGTGGTGCCTTGAAGTTTCTCTGAAATGAACTGATGAATTGGAACCATGGTGCAAAAGAAGAAGCTCTGTCCTCGGTTACTTGATTATCTGGTGATCGTAGGGGCCAGGTAACCAAGAAGAGCCTGGTTTTTGTCTTGTCATTTGTGATAACCACGACGTGTGTCATTATCCCCTTGCCAACACCCACATCATTTTGCATATCTCACTTTTCCTCTGTTACTTTACCTTGGCAGCAATACTGGTGCCAGTAGTGAAAACAGCGTCAGGTGGATTGAGAGTATTGGCCCAGAGGAACAGAGACAGAGCAAAATTGCTCTTACCTAGCATCTTTGTGTTCTTGGGCAAATATACTCTGCATACCTCAGTTTCCTGGTTTTGTAAAAAAGAAAAGTAGGCCATGCTCTTTACCTACATACCCCCTGTTGGTAATTCTTTAGCTAATACACCTTTAAAAGTGCTAATCATCTTAAGGTCTTAGTAATAATTCTATTGCTGCAATTTTCCTTGCATTTCAAGATAGGTATCTTCATGACAGTACAGATCTCATTTAGCCTGCCAGCTAAGTGCTTCAAGCCACACCCATGTTTTTCAAGGTCATGCAGTTGGGTTACTTTATCCAAAATAGCATTTTGAGCTTTATTTCTGGACTGCGGTTAACATCTGAGACAGCATCCTATCCCTTCAGGCTGCTGAACTCGTCTTTATGTTCTTCAGGCACCCAAGCAGTGATAGTGTGGCCCAGACTCCTGAATTACTGCGGCGATACCCATTGGAGGACCATGCCGAGTTCCCCCTGCCCCCAGACGTAGTGTTCTTCTGCCAGCCCGAGGGCTGTCTGAGTGTGCGGCAGCGGCGCATGAGCCTGCGGGATGACACTTCTTTTGTCTTCACCCTCACTGACAAGGACACTGGAGTCACTCGTTATGGCATCTGTGTTAACTTCTACCGCTCCTTCCAGAAGCGTATCCCTAAGGAAAAGGGGGAAGGTGGGGCAGGGTCCCGTGGGAAGGAAGGACCCCGTGCCACTTGTGCCTCAGAAGAGGTTGGCACTGAGACCTCAGAGAGTGGCGTGTCCCTGCAGCGCCCCACTGCTGACGCCGCCCCCGATGTGAATCAGTCTCCTCGGGGCAAACCCCGGGCCAAGGCAGGGAGCCGTTCCCGCAATAGTACTCTGACATCCCTGTGTGTGCTCAGCCACTACCCCTTCTTCTCCACCTTCCGAGAATGTCTGTACACCCTCAAACGTCTGGTGGACTGCTGCAGTGAGCGGCTGCTGGGCAAGAAACTGGGCATCCCTCGAGGCATACAAAGGTACAGTTTGCCACTGACACTCAGGAGAGAGGGAAGCAGTTAGAGATGAGATGTAACTGGTCTGTGAGGGGCAGGAAATTTCCTCTGAAGCCTGAGGGCCTTCGTATATCTAGAAGGAAGTGTTGTCTTAGATCCTGTTGAATTTAAGAATAAACTTTTGTAAAAAAAAAAAAAATCAATCATTAAAAAAAATAGCCTGAGGCCCTTCATCCACCTATTTAAGCATATATTAGTCCTTCCTAAGGGAAAGACTGCTGCAGAGTTAGACTTCCTAATGTAATAATGTTTGGAGTTTGCTGTTTCATGGCAGGCAGGAATCTAAGTCCTGCTATGTACACATTTTTACATTTGTTCTCACTCTTGTATATACCCTCTGGTCCTAGCTGAGCCCAAAGAGTGGGCTTTTCCAATTGTCATCATTTTTACCATATGGTTACTGTATTGTGTTGCAGTGGGGTATGAGCTCTTGGTGCTTATGTGTCTGTTTCCTGCTGTCTGCTCCTCAGGGACACTATGTGGCGTATCTTTACCGGATCGTTGCTAGTAGAGGAGAAGTCAAGTGCCCTTCTGCATGACCTTCGAGAAATTGAGGCCTGGATCTATCGATTGCTGCGCTCCCCAGTGCCCGTCTCTGGGCAGAAGCGAGTAGACATTGAGGTCCTACCCCAGGAGCTCCAACAAGCTCTGACCTTTGCTCTTCCAGACCCTTCTCGATTCACCCTAGTGGATTTCCCACTGCACCTTCCCTTGGAACTTCTGGGTGTGGATGCCTGTCTTCAGGTGCTAACCTGCATCCTGTTAGAGCACAAGGTGAGAGAGCCAGCTTTCTAGACCTTTAAGGACAGGGCCTTCATCTTTTTCATCTTTTTGTCCCTAGGAGGTAACATGGTGCCAGGTATACAGCAGGTACCCCGTAGGTGTGGGTTGAATTGAGGTACTGTCAGTGGCATGTAGTCAGAGGGTTTGCCACTCTGTTGAGTTATCCTTAACTAGACTGACCTAATTCTCTGAAAATATCAGTAGTTCTATTCCAAAGGGTGGTCCTGAAATTGGGAAAACAAGAACCAGGAAGGTAAGGCATGGGGCAGAGATCACTGTGGAAGCTATGCCCGTGGAGTCCTAGGGCATGGTGAAATGGAAGTTAAGTGGTAGCGCTGGAAACTGTTTTCTCATCTACCTTATTTGTGCTGTTGAATGATCCTTGTGGTGTGGCTTGCGGCAGGTGGTGCTACAGTCCCGAGACTACAATGCCCTCTCCATGTCTGTGATGGCATTTGTGGCAATGATCTACCCACTGGAGTATATGTTTCCTGTAATCCCACTGCTGCCCACCTGCATGGCATCAGCAGAACAGGTGAGTTTCAGGTGTTTTCTGGCTTTGTCACCTCTGTCTTCCAGCTCTGTCCAGCTCTGAGGGAGAACGATCAATACCAAGAAGTTGTAAATCAGTACTCGTCTTCAATCCCTTATTATAACTTATTTGTCTGTAAAACATGACCTAACTTGAACTGATTTGATGGCAAAACCTATGATATTTATGGTTTTTACTTTCAAAGTAAATGTTGGGGTGCCTGGGTGGCTCAGTCGGTTAAGCATCTGCCTTCAGCTCAGGTCCTGATCCTGGGGTCCTGGGAGGGAGCCCCGAGTTCGGCTTCCTGCTCAGTGGGGAGCCTGCTTCTCCCTCTGCCTGCCACTCGCACCCCCCCTCCGCTTGTGCACACGATCTCTCTCTCTGTCCAGTGAATAAGTGAAAAAAATCTCAAAAAAGAAAAGTAAATGCTAATAATCATAGGCTACTGGGTACACTATTGCAGGTGTTACATAATATACAGAATATACACTGTTACCTCTCTAAAATCTGAAAAACTGTGAATACTGAAACACACGTACCCTCAAGAGTTTTGGAAAAGAGATTGTGGACCTGCATTTCCTTATCTGAAAAGATCCTGATTCTTTAAGTGATCACAGTAGGTTTAGTTTTTGTTTCTTACCCTCTTTTCTTTCCACAGCTGTTGTTGGCCCCAACTCCGTACATCATCGGGGTCCCTGCTAGCTTCTTCCTCTACAAACTGGACTTCCGAATGCCTGATGATGCCTGGCTGGTGGATCTGGACAGCAATAGGGTGAGGCTCTTGGCTGAGGGACTGTAGAGTCTAGAATAGGATTTCTTTCTCTAGTGTTTTCTTTTTCTAGATTATTCCCAGGAAGGTCCTCAGTTGGGTGGTTTCTCTTGTGTGACTCATTGAAACAATTTTTTTAAATGCTTAGCTTATACTTTATTGGCTTAATAGTCCCTTGGTTAGGGCTCAAAGGAGGGTAAGATTCAGTTTTGCCAGAATGAAGTGCTGCCCTGCATCTAGGAGCAGTAGGGCAGTCGTGATTGTGGGAACACTACACATAGATAGCTCACCTGATGGTTTTCCTGGGGTATGGTTTCTAGTAAGAAAGTGTCTTTGAGTGCAGACTTAAAATGTATATTAATATTCTGTGGTGTGAATACATTCAAACTTCAGCAGGAACCCTTATATGTGTTCATTGTAAAACTTTAAAAATACAAATAAGTGTAAAGAAATAAAATCACAGTCCTATCATGTAGAGATAGTCACCAGTAACATTGAGGTGTATTTCTTTTTAGGGTGTATGTGCATATTCTATACATATGTGTATATACGTAATATATGGACTCACATATAGGTGAAAATATCGTGTATATAACTTACTATTTTTGTTACTTATTCTATGTAAGAGTAACTCCTGAGCAATTAATTCTAAGCTCATGCCTTTAACTTTTTCCTGGTGCAGGTGATTGCCCCCACCAATGCAGAAGTGCTCCCAACCCTGCCAGAACCGGAATCCTTAGAGCTGAAAAAGCATTTGAAGCAGGTGGGTGAAGAGTGACGAAAAGGAAGGGAGCAGTGGTTACTCTAGGGCGGCCGTAGGCTGTAGGTATTGGAAGAGCCACTTCCCTTTCAGACGTCAAGTGGAATAGATTTTCTTAGCTAAGAAGAGGTGTGTCCCATTTCTGGGTGTCAGGATGAATCTCAAAACGGGTTTTTATTTATTTATTTATTTTTAAGATTAGTTTTAAGAAAGAGAGCACGTGGGGAGAGGGAGGGGCACAGGGAGAGAATCTCAAGCAGGCTCCCCACTGAGCATGGAGGCCAACGCGGGACTGGAGGCCACGACCTTGAGATCATGACCTGAGCTGAAACTAAGAGTTGGACATTCAGCCGACTGAGCCACCCAGGCTCCCCTCATGTCTACCATTCTTTTTGGCCTTAGAGCATTCTGTCAGTCTTGTAAGGAAGGAGCTAGTCATTTGGACAATCTGACTCCTTTTATATTTTCCTCTTGAATTGATCTCTAGGTGTCTGTAGAATGCTTTCTTCAAAAATTCCTCTCTTTGGGGCCCTTGGTTGGCTCAGTCGTTAAGCGTCTGCCTTCGGCTCGGGTCATGGTCCCAGGGTCCTGGGATCGAGCCCCGCGTCAGGCTCCCTGCTCCACGGGAAGCCTGCTTCTCCCTCTCCCACTCCCCCTGCTTGTGTTGCCTCTCTCGCTGTCTCTCTCTCTGTCAAATAAATAAAATCTTTTTAAAAAAAATTCCTCTCTTTGAGTAATCCTTTAAATACATTTTTCATTGATTGATTTTCTTCCTCTTCTGCATGCTGAACACAGTACCTGAAGGTAAAATATGACAGGGTCCCATTCCTTTACCCTTTTGTGTGTGTTATGTAGGACCACCAGTAGATGGCTCCGTATTTTTTTATAGGAATCCTTGTTCTCATCTGAAGGGTCTTCAGGAATCTTCCTGTTGTCTTTGTTGCTCAGCGGTACCTCTGGATCTCTGGGTTTAAATGGGCCATTCTGTAGCATCCCTCTCCCTCTCACTTGCTTCATCCCTGCTCATGTAATATGGTGTCTTGTTACTGCAGAGACTGGTGAGGATTGCAAGTTGAGAAAGTTCTCTGCCTTCCTTTTCTGTGTTTTCATTCTTGATGATTGCTTTAGTATGACTAATGAGGTGGAGAAGTTGATATGTAGAATTGTACTTTAAATGTTTATAGGAGTTAAGACCCCTGGGCTCCTTAATCCTGTATTCTCACCCCTGCTACTTGAGGTGTGATTCATGGACCAGCAGCATTACCATTGCCCGCGGTTGTTAAAAGTGCGGGATCACCCCAGATATATTGAACCAGAATCTGCATTTTAACAACATTCTCAGGTGACTCCTGTGCTCATTAATATTTAAGAAGCACTCCTAGTCTAGACCAGTGGTTTTCAGACTGCCCCAAGGAGCCTCTGAAGGGCTGATTTAGGCTGGGAACACTGAACATGTGAGGTTCTGGGTTCCTTATGTCCTTCAGATAAGCTTTACTTTTAAGTGTTTCAGTTGTTTATATTTTCATATAGATTTCAACTGAAACAACATTTCATGGCTAAAATAAACTTGAAAACTATTGCCCTGGGTTCCAGATTTGATCAAGTTGCCTTGAGCTAGGTTGGCTTAAACTGAAAGGCTGTATAATTCAGATTATCTGCTAAAGGTTAAAGTATTTGGATTCTTATGTCAAAGGCTCTTTCCTAGGAGATGAGATTGACCAGCTGCCCAGGAATCTGCATTCCATAGGGGATTCCTTGTTGTTCCACAGGCCCTTGCCAGCATGAGTCTCAACACCCAGCCCATCCTCAATCTGGAGAAATTCCATGAAGGCCAGGAGATCCCCCTTCTCTTGGGAAGACCTTCTAATGACCTGCAGTCCACACCTTCCACTGAATTCAACCCACTCATCTATGGCAATGATGTGGATTCTGTGGATGTTGCAACCAGGTATGACCACCATGACTGGATAATCACGAGCTCTTAAACTGGGTTCTGCTCTCTCAGTAGTTGTATTTGCCACCTTAGTAAAAGCAAAGAGAAGAACTAGTTCCTCATACTCTCGAGGCCTTTTAGACCTCGAGTGAAGAAAGAGATTGCTGATTAAGATCCCTCTCCCTTGGATGTTGGAAGCCTCTGAAGTGATGGCTTGGGGAGGTGGTCTGAGACCTTGGATTGCAGCAGTCCTTACAGTGCAGGGTGTGGGACTCGGATTACCTCACCATCCCCTTTTTCCCCAGAGTGGCCATGGTCCGTTTCTTCAACTCCCCCAACGTGCTGCAGGGCTTTCAGATGCACACACGTACGCTGCGTCTCTTCCCTCGGCCTGTGGTAGCTTTTCAAGCTGGCTCCTTTCTAGCCTCACGTCCCCGGCAGACTCCTTTTGCTGAGAAGCTGGCCAGGACTCAGGCTGTAGAGTACTTTGGAGAATGGATCCTGAACCCCACCAACTATGCCTTCCAGCGAATTCACAACAGTGAGTGCACTTGCCCTCTGCTCTGCCCTGCCTCACCTTCTGCTTTTGTCCCCTGATGGCTCTTCCCTTTGCCTTTTCTCATCTTTCACCTGCCCCTTCCATTCCTATTTCGCTTTAGACTTTTTCCTATCTTTCTTTTATGTTTCGCTTGTTTTTTTTCCTCCTTGTTGCTAACTCTGTTCTTTCTTCTCTTTGGGTAGACATGTTTGATCCGGCCCTGATTGGTGACAAGCCAAAGTGGTACGCTCATCAGCTGCAGCCTATCCATTATCGAGTCTACGATAGCAACTCCCAGCTGGCTGAGGCGCTGAGTGTGCCCCCAGAGCGCGACTCTGACTCAGACCCCACTGATGACAGGTGAGCAGCAAAACCGCTTTTTAAGGTAAAGAGGCTATCACTAGCCCTTATTGAGCACAATGGTGAAGTCTGATAGGACTTAGACGTTAGGTTAGTCTTTGAAGCCTTGGTTATATTCTGGTTGATTGTTTTGTGTTAGCTTACTTATTTTATCTTGTTCCCTGGCCTTGATTAAAGAGTGCACCTCTTTTTTTTTTTTAAGTTTTTTTTTAAAGACTTATTTATTTGAGAGAGAGAGAGAGCGCACGGAGGAGCGGAGGGAGAGGGAGAGAAGCAGACTCCGCTGAGCGCAGAGCCCGACATGGGGCTCGATCCCCCAACCCTGAAATCATGACCAGAGTTGAAGTCAGGAGTCGGATACTTAACCAACTGAACCACCCAGGCGCCCCCCTTTTTTTAAGTTTTTAATTTTTAAAAAAAAATTTTTTTTAAGATTTTATTTATTTATTTGAGAGAGAGAGAATGAGAGAGAGAGAGCACAAGAGTGGGGAGGGTCAGAGGGAGAAGCAGACTCCCTGCTGAGCAGGGAGCCCGATGCGGGACCCGATTCCGGGACTCCAGGATCATGACCTGAGCCGAAGGCAGACGCTTAACCAACTGAGCCACCCAGGTGCCCTTAAGTTTTTAATTTTAATTCCAGTGTAGTTAGCATACAGCGTTATATTAGTCTCAGGTGTACAACACAGTGATTCAGCAGTTCTACACATTAGTCAGTGCTTATCGTGATAAACGTACTTTTTAATCCCCGTTACCTATTTCACCCCCACCCTCCTCCTCTCTGGTAGCCATCTGCTTGTTCTGTATCGTTAAGAGTTTCTTTCTTGGTTTGTCTTTTTTTTTTTTTCCTTTGTTCAGTTGTTTTCTTTCTTAAATTCTGCATATGGGTGAAATCATATGGTATTTATCTTTCCCTGACTTATTTCACTCATTATTATACTCTGGCTCCAACCACGTCGTTGCAGATGGCGAGATTTCATTCTTTTTTATAGCTGAGTAATATTCCTCTGTGTGTGTGTGTGTGTGTGTGTGTGTGTGTGTGTGTATGTATGAGAGTCCTTCCTTTTTTATTTTTCCTCCTGCTGATTGCTGATTCTTTTCCCTGCCCCTTTCTTCCGTTCTATTTTTATTTTTGTTTTTATTTTTATGCTCTTCACTCTGCAGTGGCAGTGATAGTATGGATTATGATGACTCAAGCTCTTCTTACTCCTCCCTTGGTGACTTTGTCAGTGAAATGATGAAATGTGACATCAATGGTGATACTCCTAGTAAGTGTACTTGGGGAGATTGGCCGGCTCTGGGCAGGGTTTGGGGCTCTGGGACCGTGTGGTCTGTACCTGCCACCTGGGGTTTTGGCAGATGTGGATCCGTTGACACACGCAGCCCTGGGGGATGCCAGTGAGGTGGAGATTGATGAGCTGCAGAACCAGAAGGAATCAGAGGAACCGGTCCCAGACGGCGAAAACTCTCAGGAAAACCTGCCGCTGCGCTCCAGCTCTAGCACCACCACCAGCAGTAGCCCCAGCACCGTCATCCATGGAGCTACTTCTGTACGTGAGGACTTGGGAGGATGGATAAGGGTGGGATGTGGGCCACGCTTCTATAAGAAAGTCGAGGCTGAAGCTGTTAATTTGCCTCTTCACATTCTTCCTGTCTTCGTCTCCATAGGTCTCCTAGCTTAGAGCCTAGGAGACATAGTTTTGACCCCAGAAGGAACTCATCGGGCTTTGTTCAGGGCTTAGCTAAGATCCCCCTTGCCTAGTTTGTGGGCACAGAGAACAGGGGTGTCACAGAGATCTTTTCTCCCACATTCCCTTAGGATAGGAGATGGGAACTTGAGAGGCCTGGCTTGGCCCTGATAAACTGAGAACACAGGAAAGTATCACTGGGCACCGGGTGACCAGTTTTTATTTAATGTGGCCTTTAGGAACCTGCCGACTCAACAGGGGTGGACGATAAGGCAGCAGGAGGTGTCTCCAAGCCCCTCCCGACCGTGCCTCCCAGCACTGGCAAATCGAACGCAGACAGGCGCCAGACAGAAATTGGAGAGGGGTCAGTGCGCCGGCGAACCTATGACAATCCGTACTTCGAGCCCCAATATGGCCTTCCCCCTGAGGAAGATGATGATGAGCAGGGAGAAAGTTACACTCCCCGATTCAGCCAACATGTCAATGGCAGTCGGTGAGAGCCTGGGGACTCCTTCTAGATGGGTGACTGAAGGACCTCACTACAGTGGAGCCTGGGTGAGGGTTAATCAGAAAGTTGGAGAAGTCCAAATGCTCTGGTGGCCCGCTATCCCAAAGTGGTGCTTTGATCTAGACATAGAAGTTGCGGGAAGGGAGCTGTGACGGCAGTGTAGCGTCAGGCCCACACTCCCAAGACTAGGTACCCCTGCCTGGGGCTCACAGGTGCCACTGTGCATTCAAGGGCTCAAAAGCTGCTGCGGCCCAACAGCTTGAAACTGGCAAGCGACTCAGACGCAGAGTCAGACTCTCGAGCGAGCTCACCCACCTCCACCGTCTCCAACAACAGCACCGAGGGCTTCGGGGGCATCATGTCTTTTGCCAGTAAGTGCCTTTAGCTCTCCTGCCTCTGTCCCCATTTTCTCTGCAGGAGGGCCTGGCCATGGTGGATGCTGCTTAGAACTTCAGATGTAGGGCTGGATTGGTGTTACCGAGCCCCAATCCAGGTGGTTTGGGTGACAGTGAATAAAGTATTTTCACGGGAGGTCAGTAAAGGACAGGGACGGATTAGTCTCTATCTTTATCCCCAGAGGTTTCAGTCTGTCTCAGGTAAGATGGCTGGTCAACTGAGAAAGAGTCATTGTATTGAAAGTCATATATTTTGTGGAAATAAAGTGGTCAAATTTGATTTGGGTTCTGTATCTAATACCTTCTTTGCCTGGTGAAGGACTTTTTCATGAACACACTTTGAAATCTATATGAGGTTGACTTTTGTGCCTAGAGAATATTTCCAGAAATGAGGGGTGGTGTCAGTCAAAGATTGAGGACAGACCAGGGACCAGATAATTATGATTGTGAGTTTTTTCAGAAGCCAGGTAGGGACAGCACCAGCTTCTGACCAAAAGTGCATAAACTGTCAGCTTTCATGCTGAATTAGCAGTTGATGAGAGGCTCGGCTGTTACCGGGGGAGGTGGTCAGAGAAGGTTGTTACTGGGTTTTGAGCCATCCTGGCAGTTGCCCTAAATTATAGACTTGGTCCTTTCTATGGTAGATCAGAGGTACTGGGATTATGTTTGAAAAGGAGGAAGACGGAGCTTTGATTCCTTATGCTCCTAACTGCTCACTCTCCCACCCTCCCCTTGACAGGCAGCCTATATCGGAACCACAGTACGAGCTTCAGTCTTTCAAACCTCACACTGCCCACCAAAAGTGCCCGAGAGAAGACCACACCCTTCCCCAGTCTGAAAGGTAACTACAGCCCTCCTTCTGCCGAACCAGGATTCTCCGGGAGCTATTTCAGGCCTCTGGGTGCTTGTCAGGAGCCCTGTGTGTGATGACTCGTTTGATTTGGCTGTGGCCCCCCATACCGCTTCTCACGGCTTTCATTGCACATGGTGGGCTCTCTGGTTTTTTAGATGGAAACAATCTTCATAGCTGAAGGGAAGGCCCTGTTATGTCATTTAGAATAAGAGCAACTGTGAGATTACTGCTGCTTCTGGGGGGATCCATAATTTACACAGGGATCATCAGCTGCCACCAGTCATCTGCCAGGTTCCTACTGCATGAGCAGAGGAGGAGCTCCATCCCAGGGAGCTGGCCTGCTGGGGCGGTTGAGAGAGCCTGCTGGTGTTCATAGAGCCAAGAAGCCTCTTACTTTGGCTTCACGTCGACGGGCCCTGTGGGTGGGCCAGGTAGTATTGGTTGGCTTCTAAGAGCGGTTAAGACCTTATTTGATTTTCATTTGTGATCTCGGAGAGTCTGAAGGGCTCTTCGGAATTTCCTCTATTGACATTTGTTTGTTTTCTCTAGCTATTGTGCTGAAATATTTAATTACAATAGAAAGCATAGTGAGAAGCAGCTCTGTGTATATTTTAACTGACTTCTCTCCCCAGTGATTAAAAACTTCAGGAATCAAAGGCGTGTTCTCTGGTGGGCATGGGAACATAGGGTCGGTGGGCAGAGGGACGCAATAGCTAGAGGTGGAGGGCGCAGATCCACACACAGCTCAGTAGCGGAGGGGTGGGAAAGCGTTAGTGTCCCTGGCTTTGATGCAGCTGGGGAGGAAAGCGGTTGAAATGCCTTCATCGCATGCTGACGCTTCACTTCATTTGTTGTCCTTGCTCCCATCCACCTCCCACCCTCACACCCCCACCCCACTTCCCATGACAGCATCTGCAAGATGGGTCTCCTCTCCCCGCATACCGGCAGGCCCTCTGGACCCCTGTGCTAGATGTTTCGTGAAAACCAGCAGTCCCTCTTTCATGCATGTGCCTGTGTAGTACCTGAAGGTCCCTCATGTCATTTACCCTGCCCCTGGCTTTTAGAGACCATAGTCTTAAGGATGGTCTTTCCTAGAGCCTTGGTGGTTTCCTGATCTCTTGGCTTCCAGCTCTGAGGTGCCTGAGAACTAAGGTCATGTGCACTAAGCTTTGGGAGAATCCTCAGGTTGTCTGACTTACAGCTCCGTTGAGGGGAACAGGGGTTGTGGTATCATGGTGCACCTACTAATTGTGTATTTTGTGTCCCAGTATTTGGGCTAAATACTCTAATGGAGATTGTTACTGAAGCCGGCCCCGGGAGTGGTGAAGGTGGGTCTTACCCGTGAGCTGTGCATGATCTTTTTTTCCTAGCATCTTCCGTGCCTGCCTGAGGGCCGTCCTCCTCATGGGGCAAGCAGTATCACATGAGTGACCTGCCTTGCCCCGTCCCCTGTGACGCCCGTGCTTGCCCATGGGCGTGCTGCTGGTGCATGTGGAGTGGCCTGAGTCTCCATCCCCACCTCCTCCACGTTGCCATGGCTGGTTTCTACCTGTGTGTGATGCCCCAGGGCCACCCTCACCCAGCCCTTCTGGGGAATGGGTGTGGAACGTGGCTCCCCAGGGCGGTGCTGACACAGGCTACTCTCATTCCTACCTTCCTGGCTATAGGAAACAGGAGGGCCTTAGTGGACCAGAAGTCGTCTGTTATTAAACACAGCCCAACAGTGAAAAGAGAGCCTCCATCACCTCAGGGTCGATCCAGCAATTCTAGGTAATAAATGGCTGAGCTATTTCGGAAGTTCTATGCTAGAGGTCGTGATTCCTGTACCACTTTAGGGATGCTCAGGAGTGGGAGAGCACCTCTCAGTTGGGTAGATGAAATCAGTTCTTGCGCGCACTGCCCATGTGACGGTAGTAGCCCACGCCAGTGAGGAGAATGAAACTACAGTGCTGGGTATGCGGGGCGGGGGGCGGGGCAGGGGGTGCAGGGGACTTGGACGCCTGGAGACATGGCTTTGTGTTTTGCCCCTGGAGGCAAGCATCTAGTCTGGTGAAGTGGGGGGAATGCTCTGCACAGAAGCTGATGACCACAGAAGTGGTGTGTGGACCCCATAGTGAGAACCAGCAGTTCCTGAAGGAGGTGGTCCACAGCGTGCTGGATGGCCAGGGCGTTGGCTGGCTCAACATGAAAAAGGTGCGTCGGCTACTGGAGAGCGAGCAACTGCGAGTCTTTGTCCTGAGCAAGCTGAACCGCACGGTGCAGTCAGAGGATGATGCCCGGCAGGATGCCATCCCCGACGTGGTCAGTGTCTGGGGTGGGGAACTGGAATCAGCTGGAAGAGGGACCTGGACACCAAAGGCAGTTTTGCCAACTCTCACCCCTGGCTTGTTGCAGGAGATCAGTCGAAAGGTGTACAAGGGAATGTTAGACCTGCTCAAGTGCACGGTACTCAGCCTGGAGCAGTCCTATGCCCACGCAGGTCTGGGTGGCATGGCCAGCATCTTTGGGCTTCTGGAGATTGCCCAGACCCACTACTATAGTAAAGGTAGGATCACACTGGCTGGGCCAGCACCGTCCACAGCTCTTGCACTGATCTCCAAGGAAAGGGAACTTGTTCTTTGTACAAGTTTCCCGGGGCCAGGCTGCTTCCCATCAAACTTCAGGATTTTATTTTTTAATGCACGTTTGTCTGTACTGGGTATTTTTCTGTCACGAAAAAGATGTCCACTTTTTTTTCCTTGCACTTCTTCCATTCTCCATCCTCCTGCAACCTTGTTTCTCCTGCCTCCCTCCCATAGCTCGATTTCCACCTACTGTCTCTTTTGACCTCTTCCTCTATTCGATCTTTTCCTAGAACCAGACAAGCGGAAGAGAAGCCCAACAGAGAGTGTACAGACCCCAGGTGGCAAGGGTCCTGGCCTGGCCGGGCGGGGGGCCCCAAAGGCTATGGTACAGCTGAGAGTTCCCCAGCTGGGGCCTCGGGCGCCAGGTGCTGCAGGAAGGGGTCCTAAAGAGCTCGACACCAGAAGTTTAAAGGAGGAGAACTTTGTAGCGTCTGTTGGTATGTGTCACTGTGTTTGGTGTGGTGGACAGAGGGTTCTGGCTTCTTAAATACCCCTCCCTCCTTTCAATTCATCCAGAATCCCGCCTTTCTTTCCCCCCATGCTTTGCTTTCTAGAGAGGGAGGTAGGTCTGCATCCATTTCTGACGGTATATCTTTGTACTTCTTTATCCCTTATGCTTCCTTTTTAGGCATCCCCACGTACATCTTAGAGGAAGAAGGGAAGTTTTGCTTAGAAGGCTCAGTGAGGTTTAGTGCAGGGAGTCTGAGCTCTATTCCTGGTCCCTCTTTTTATTTACATCTGAATTTCTTCACACAGTAGAGAGCATGTGAGCTCCTGGAAGCTGTAAGAAAGTTCATAGATGCATCTTTGGTCTATAAAATTATGATCATCTGGGCCGGTTTACCCCCATCCAACCATGACACTACCCTCAAATTTGCTTCTCTGGGGGGTGTCCAGCAACCTCATTTGCCTGGGCTCTAGGCCTCAAGGTATAGATTTCTGAATCAGCTTTTCTTTAAACCTTTCCTTACTGGACTTGATTAAGAGTTTGTTTACATTGAGTGTTTTCTCCATTCCCCCTAAGGCAGTGCCTTAGTGAGCTCTCTGTGTGGCACCTCCACTTGACCCCCTCTGTACTTGACCTTGGGTTATCTAGGTTGTGTCTTTGTGTGGTTCTGTTTCCGTGGGCATTATGCTTCTAATGGATGCTTCTTTGCCACACCATTAGCATTTGTCTTGTGCTCCCATAAATGGAGATGAGGCATCAGTTTCCTTCGTTGGGGAGCTCCCCTTCTCTAGCCAGCAGAACAGTGTCCTAGAGGTGGTCAACCCTGCCTTTCTCCTGCATGATGTGATGTTCTAGAAAAAGTACCCACCTGCAAGTCTGAAGGCCTGGAGTTTTAGTCCCGTATCTGCTTCCAGCTAGGAATGAGACTTTGGGCAAAGCACTTCGTCTCTCAGGGTCTCTATCTCCTCATCTGGGAAACAAGGAGATCGGATTAAGTAGATACTCAAGTTCTTCCAGGAAAAGAATGCTATCATCGGTATTCTGTCTTCTTTACCCCAACAAATATGCTATTCTTGACCATTTCGTGTTCTCTGTCACCTTTACCGGAAGCATTTTTCCTGATGACTGGCTAAGAATGGGTCACTTGGCAGGGAAGACACTGATTTTGTGGGTGAATTGGATTTTTTGGTAGTGGCAAGGAGGGATGCTAACTGCCTGCATGAGTGGTCTCTGTCCAGTCCAGCAAATCAAACAGAATGGTGCTCAAGCTTCCGAACCCCTTTGGCTGCTTGAGGTGATCATCTGTCTTGTCTGGAATCTTTAAAAATTGTTGTTGCCCAGCTCATTTCGCAGAGAGAGCATGGCGTGGTGGAAGTTTAAACTAGTCCTAAGTTACATGATCTCGAGCAGAATGCTCCAGCTTTGTTAGGATCAGTTTCCTCAGGCCAAAATGGAGGAGCTTGAGCGAAGGCAGCTCCATCTCTAATGTTCTGCAGGGTTTTTACTATCACTTTCAGGTTCGGGTTAGGAATTTAGAGTCTTTAGTCCATGAGTGGGGGAGGGGGGGCTTTAGATCTCTTGATTTTTAACCCCCCAAAATGAAGATCTCTTTATCTCTTGATTTGTAATCCTGTGCCTGAGACTGAATCGGCTTGGGTGGGTGGGTTTCCATTCTGTCTGACCAGCCTCTGACTCTGTCTGTCTTTCTCTCCTGCTTACATTGCATCTGGGGTAGAATTGTGGAACAAGCACCAGGAAGTGAAAAAGCAAAAAGCTTTGGAAAAACAGAGTAAGGAACAAATGCCCCTTCCTGTTCCCAAATCTCCCATACCTGCCAACTCCCCAGGCCCAGTTGGGGCAGGCTCCCTTTGTCAGCCCCACACCAAATTTGCTCTTGGGGGGTATTTGGAATAAAAGCAGGTAGGTGGTATGTGACTCACAGGTATGTGACTTGTAGGCTGCTTCTTTCCCCCTCTCCTCCTAGCAATCAGGCTGTAATCAGGGCGTCTACTGAGTAAAATCCCTTAGAACGTGGTTCTCTATTGCTCCAGAGTTGGTGGGGAGAATGTTTGTCTATTTCAGTGCCCCTCATTGGCTGGTATCTCCCTCACCCATTAGAAGGCCTGTGGGCACAGTTGGCAGAGATGGTTGCTGTCCCTCCGTGTTGAGTCTGTAGCTTCCCAGCTCTCTCTGGTGGCTTGCCTAGGCACGCTTTCTTGCTTTCTGTCATTCTGTCCTTCTGCCATACCATTGTGGGTGGGTGGGGAAAAAACGAGGGTGGTTTTTATCTCAAATGTAGAAAGGTGTAGGGTTGGGGTAGTCAGTGTCCACAGAAACAGCTGGCGTTTCTGTATCTCGTTGGGCCTGTCCTTTTCTAGCCCCTTTAGACACTGGGGACCCTCAATTGGTTTCACACTGCAGGGAAGCTCCGACTCTGAGTATAGGGGAATGTGGTTTAGACATTTGTTTGTGGAACTTTCTGTCTTAGAATGATTTGCTGAGAATTTTCTCAGGTTGTGAAAGAAGGCTGCAGAACCCCTTGAGACCAGGTTTAATTTGTCCTACTTGGGTCTTAAGGCATGTGGGGACTTCTTCTGGTGGGGCCTGATGTGGAGGCAGTACCTGGAAAGGTGGCTGGGGCTTGCTGAGGTCTGGGACCTGGCTGTGTGCTGTCCCACTCCCTTCACCAGCCTGCCCCTGGCCTTTGTGTATGGAGTGACAGAGGTTTTCCCCTACCCAGGGCCTGAAGTAATCAAACCTGTCTTTGACCTCCGTGAGACAGACGAGAAAAAATCCCAGATCAGCGCAGACAGTGGCGTGAGCCTGACATCTGGTTCCCAGGTTTGTGACAACCTTATTGTGAATTACAACGTCAAAACAACATGCATGCCCAGTGATGGGAGAATGATGAAATAAGTGTCATATATCTACATAATACGATACTAGTATCTACTGAAGACTGTGTTTTCAAAAATTTAGTGATATGGGAAAATGTTTTACAAAGCTACATGCAGTATAATTCCCATTTTGTTTTTAAAATGTATATAGAAAAGACTGAAAGGAAGTATACTAAAACCTTAATAGTGATTAATGTTAGTGGTAGGTTTATGGCTTATTTTTGTTTCTGTATTCTTTCATGTATTTTCTATCATGAGCATGTATTTCTTTAATGTTTATTATTTTTTGTCATGCCAGTCATGTATATTTTATATCCCGGAAAAAAAATAATCTTCTTATGACCTGTTTAGGGATGATAATAGTAGGTTGGGGTTGAGAAGAAGGAAGAAGATACAGTATTTCTTAGGGAAATGAGAGTAGATGGGACACCTCCTCTAATGTGTCTGAGTCCCCATGTCGTTTCAGAGGACTGATCCAGACTCTGTCATTGGTGTGAGTCCAGCTGTTATGATCCGAAGCTCAAGTCAGGACTCTGAAGTTAGCACCGTGGTAGGGGAACACCACACTGGCATCTTGGGGGGTGGGGGTGTGAGTGCCCCTTTGGAAAAGGGGGCTGCTTTCTCCTTTGGAGGCTCTTAGTCTCATGTCAGCTTGGTTCTCACGGTGGAGATGCTCACCTGGCATAGGTCTGTGTGCGTGGGATCAGACCCTGAGAGTTCACCCAGGGTTTCTCAACTTATAAAGAAGGTACTTCCAGAGGCTACCTGACACACCTTTGACGTTCAGTGCCTTTTTTTTTTTTTTTTTCAATGGCAGTAGAGAGCTCTAACAGCTGGGCATTTCTGGGAACCCTTCGCTGGGGACTATCCCTTACTACCTTCTTTCCTTGCCAGGTGAGTAATAGCTCTGGAGAGACCCTTGGAGCAGACAGTGACCTGAGCAGCAACGCAGGTGATGGGCCAGGTGGTGAGGGCAGCGCCCACTTGGCAAGCTCTCGGGGCACCTTGTCTGATAGTGAGATTGAGACCAACTCTGCTACCAGCACCATCTTTGTAAGTTTGGTTTACTAACAAAAGGAGATCATTTCTGTCATGAGAGGGGAGTGGGTTAGAAAAGAATGAAACGTTAGGGGCAATTAGAAGGAAAAGAGGAAGTAAGGAGTGGATTATCCCCATATATTTGGCTTCAAAGAAAATGTTTCCTAAGGCTTTTTTTAGAGTTATTTTACTCCCATGATCTGGGGCTTTTAGGACCCTCTCCTGAATCACTGATGAGTCGGGCTCCCCGCCCAGTCAGATCAGGGCTTCAAATCCTGTGCGCATTTACAGTAGACAAGGTGATAGGAGTCGTTGTGGCAATGCCAGGACAACAGCGACTCTCCTTTCGTGTCAGTCTGTCTCTTGCTGGGGGATAGTTTGGTTTTATTCCGGCCACTTCCGGTGCTATATTTATATAGCACTTTTTTTTTGTTTTATAGACATTTGTTTGACAGAGGGAGAGAGAGAGAGAGAGAGCACAAGCAGAGGGAGAGGAAGAAGCAGACTCCCCTCTGAGCTGGGAGCTGGACGCGGGGCTCCATCCCAGGACCCTGGGATCATGACCTGAGCCGAAGGCAGACGCTTAACCGACTGAGCCACCCAGGCATCCCTATTTATATAGCACTTTAAAATAGCATTTTATTGGGGCACCTGGGTGGTTCAGTCGTTAGGCGTCTGCCTTCGGCTCAGGTCATGGTCCCGGGGTCCTGGGATCGAGCCCCGTATTGGGCTCCCTGCTTGGCAGGAAGCCTGCTTCTCCCACTCCCCCTGCTTGTGTTCCTTCTCTCGCTGTTTCTCTCTCTGTCAAATAAATAAATAAAATCTTAAAAAAAAAAAAAAAGCCAGGGGCACCTGGGTGGCTCAGTCGGTTAAGCAACTGCCTTCGGCTCAGGTCATGATCCTGGAGTCCCAGGATCGAGTCCCGCATCGGGCTCCCTGCTCAGCGGGGAGTCTGCTTCTCCCTCTGACACTCCCCCCTCTCATGCTCTCTCTCTCTCATTCTCTCTCTCAAGTAAGTAAATAAAAAAAAAAAATCTTAAAAAAAAAAAAAAAGCCAGGGGCACCTGGGTGGCTCAGTCGGTTAAGCAACTGCCTTCGGCTCAGGTCATGATCCTGGAGTCCCAGGATCGAGTCCCGCATCGGGCTCCCTGCTCAGCGGGGAGTCTGCTTCTCCCTCTGACACTCCCCCCTCTCATGCTCTCTCTCTCTCATTCTCTCTCTCAAGTAAGTAAATAAAAAAAAAAAAATCTTAAAAAAAAAAAAAGCCAGTGATCAGTTGGAATTAAAGTAATTCTGTTTAGTCCTTGCCTTTAGACACACTGCGTTTTGGTGTATACATGCCTCTTTAGGCAGCATTAAGCACTCTGATACACTTGTCACTTTATTAGAGTTGAGAATCAATATTCTTTTTTTTATAAGATTTTATTTATTTATTTGACAGAGAAAGAGAGACACAGTGAGAAAGGGAACACAACAGGGGGAGTGGGAGAGGGAGAAGAAGGCTTCCTGAGGAGCAGGGAGCTCGATGCGGGGCTTGATCCCAGGACCCCGGGATCATGACCTGAGCTGAAGGCAGATGCTTAATGACTGAGCCACCCAGGCACCCCAAGAATCAGTATTCTTTTTTAAATAATTTTTTTAAAGATTTTATTTGAGCGAGAGAAAGTGAGTGAGAGAGAGCACAAGGGGGGGGGGAGAAGCAGACTCCCTGCTGAGCAGAGAGCCCCATGCAGGGCTTGATCCCAGGACCTGGAGAACATGACCTGAGTCAAAGGCAGACGCTTAACTGAGTGAGCCACCCAGGCGCCCTGAGAATGGATATTCCTTATAGGAGCTTATAAGTCCTTATCTTTGGTTTGTGGGGAGAATGGAAGATGAAATTTAAAGTATTTAACACTGGTGATCATTCCCACCCTCAGGGCTTTCTGTGTGTTTCTAATAGAGCAAATGACATCCCTGAGCAAAGGTAGAGCATGGGATTGAGGGTCAGCAAAGCCATTTGAGTTAATGGACCTTAACTCTCCTTGAGTCTAAATAGACCATTTTATTGAGAGTATTTTAAATCCTTCTAGCATGCCTCCATTCTGGATGTTAAGATAGACATTATGGGATAGCAGTCTTGCAAGAAGCCATTCAGCTGTATGCTGCCTTTCCTGGCACCTTTCCTGGGACAAATTCTTACTTGTTCTGTGCTGGTGGGCAAGGGCTGTTTTTGTACAGTTGAGTTGCTGAGAGCAATTACCTAAATTTCTTGGCTCAAAAAAAAGGCTGTTTTAGCAAGAAATGAGTTCTATGAAGTCAGTATGGTCCACTGAACGAAGAACTAGGCTGTGAACCTGGAGACTGGCGTGTAGACACACTAATTAGGTGTTGCCTAATAACCTTTGATCGATCGCTTCTCCGCTTAGGCTGTCGCATGAGTTGTGAAATGGGCATGAAATTTGCCTCTTACCCACTTGAAATCTTTTTTGAATGAATAGAAAGTCTAATATTGCAGAAATAGCAGGTAAAGTTAGTGATTTTTCTAAGGGCCAGATATTTCTAAGAGATGGTAGGAAAAAGGAAATTAACATTTATCCAATACTAACCATGTGCCAGGCATTGTTAAGTGCTTTATATGTATTTTCTAATTTAATTCCCATAATGGTCCTAAGAGGTAGATATTATATAACCTTCCTTTTACAGGTGAGGAAAATGAGACTCAGAGAAGCTAAGTTTTATGCCTCAGGTCACACAGCTAGTAAGAGACAGGGATCTGAACCTTGGTCAGTCTGACTTCAAACCAGTGTTTTTTTCTGTTGCATCATGCTGCTACAGAGGATTTGCCTCTTATTTATTTATTTTTAAGAACAAAGAGTCTTACAGAGACTAAAGGGTAAAGATGAGCAGAATGAAAACTCAATTGCATGTTTTAGGAGGCAGTAACAGAAAGCAGCATTATCATATTGACTTCTGGTCAAATCCTTGAGGCAAGCACAGCAAAAGCAGGACTGCTAGAGTACATGTTACTAACGGAGGGTGATGAGTGTGTGGGCCTCTTAATGCGCTGCGCGGCTTACTTTGCCCTGTCCGTCGGTACCTTGGTCAGCTGACCTATCACCTTGTTGTAGGGGAAAGCCCATAACTTGAAGCCAAGTGTCAAGGAGAAGCTGGTGGGCAGCCCAGTTCGCTCGTCTGAAGATGTAAGCCAGCGAGTCTATCTCTACGAGGGACTCTTAGGTGAGACACTGACTGGGAAGGCCTCTTGCACTGGAGGAAAGCTGGACTCAGATGGGGAAGAGGGTGGCACTGAACGGGTAGCTGCTCAGCTCTGTGCTGATCTCAGTGCTGATGTTAGAGGGCGTGTTTATATCTGAAGAATGTGACTTACTGGGTCTGGAAAAAGCCGTAGGTGAGCACTAGAAGAGACTGGATTTTGGTCTTAATCAACAGCCTCTGTCTTTCTGTCTGTCTGTCTTTCCTTTCTTGCTACCATGGTCCTTCCTGCTCACAAATTGGCAGGAAGGGACAAAGGATCGATGTGGGACCAGTTAGAGGATGCGGCTATGGAGACCTTTTCTATAAGTAACCACCTTTCTTTGTGTGCTGTGTTCCTCCCTCCTCCTCGGGAGGGGCTGGGTCTCACTTGGAGGAGCTGGGGCTGGTGGCAGGAATGTTAGTTCTGGGGTGGAGAGGCTCACGTTTGCTTTGTCCTAGAATTTGTCCCTTTTATCTAGAGTTTGCTCTTTACTTTGGTTTGGCAGCTGTGTTCTTTATATGTTAAATAAGCCCCTAGAAAAATTCCGTTCTGTGCAGGCAAAGAACGTTCTACTTTATGGGACCAAATGCAGTTCTGGGAAGATGCGTTCTTAGATGCTGTGATGTTGGAGAGAGAAGGAATGGGTATGGACCAGGGTCCCCAGGAAATGATCGACAGGTATGAGACTTAGTAAACACTTGGAAAATGCAAATTCAGCCTCTTCCAAGTTAGTTCTGTGATCTCCCACCTGAGGGCCAACTTGTCGCTGGTCTCCTGCTTAGGTACCTGTCCCTGGGAGAACATGACCGGAAGCGCCTGGAGGATGATGAAGATCGTTTGCTGGCCACGCTTTTGCATAACCTCATCTCCTACATGCTACTGATGAAGGTAATGTCGATTTCGCTTGTGCCTAGCTACTGCTGATGCCGGAAGGGCAAGGCTTGTTCCTGTGACCTAAATTCTGGGGCACTTGGGAAGCTGTCAGAGCATCTTACTAGGGCTCTCTTCCTTTTTTTTTTTTTTTTTTTAATTTTTTTTTTAAAGATTTTATTTATTTGAGAGAGAGAGAATGAGAGACAGAGAGCACAAGAGGGAAGAGGGTCAGAGGGAGAAGCAGACTCCCCGCTGAGCAGGGAGCCCGATGCGGGACTCGATCCCGGGACTCCAGGATCATGACCTGAGCCGAAGGCAGTTGCTTAAGCAACTGAGCCACCCAGGCGCCCTAGGGCTCTCTTCCTGATTGAAAGTGTGAGGTCCCTCTGCAGCTCACACATGACCCATTTGTCTGAAGCTGCCAAGGAATGTTGTAAAGATGATTCGTGATTGCATACCATTTGTTTATTTTGAATTTTATTTTGTTTTTATTTAAAAAAATTTCGGGGGGGAACATCTGAGTGACTCAGTTGGTTAAGCATCTGCCTTCGGCTCAGGTCATGATCCCAGAGTCGGGATCAAGCCTTGCATCGGGCTCCCTGCTCGGCAGGGAGCCTGCTTCTCCCTCTGTCCCTCACCTTGCTTGTGCTCTCTCTCGCGCTCTCAAATAAATAAATAAAATATATTTTTAAATAAATAAAAAATTTAAAAAATATTTTTAAGTAATCTCTATGCCCAGCATGGTGCTCAAACTCACAATCCCAAGATTAAGAGTTGCACACTCGGGGCACCTGGGTGACACAGTCGGTTAAGCATCCGACTCTTGGTTTCAGCTCAGGTCATGATCTCAGGGTCCTGGGATTGAGTCCCGCATCACGCTCCCCGCTCAGTGGGAGGTCTGCTTCTCCCTTTCTCTCTCCCTCTGCCCCACCTCGTGCACTTGCCTGCTCTCTCAAAAATAAATGAATAAATATTTAAAATAAATAAATTATCTTTTTGAAAAAGGAGTTGCATACTCTACCAAGTTTTGAATTTTATTTTTATTTATTTATTTTTAAAGATTTTATTTATTTATATGAGTGGAGGGGGACAGAGCATGAACAGGGGCAGAGGGAGAGGGAGAAGCAGACTCCCCGTCGAGCATGGGGCTCGATCCCAGGACCCTGAGATCATGACCTGAGCTCTGAAGGCAGACACTTATCTGACTGAGCCACCCAGGCGCCCCTATTTTGAATTTTTAAATGGGCTTCCTTTGCTAAGTAGTTTTAGGATGCCAGTAGAACTCCCTACAGAATACAATGAATTTAAAAAAAATTTTAAGTAATAGTTTCTAAAACCTTAGGAAGGATAGTCAGAATTCAGTTTTCAGCACTAGGCCTTTATCATATAGAATTTTCCATAGATGTAAAAAGAGCTACTCATTAAAAAATTAATAGTAGGTTCTAGGTTGACTCGGTTGTACTTGGTTGTTAAGAAGAGTCCTGCTTTGAAAGGGCAACATAAGCTTGGGGTCGATGTGTAGAAGAGAGTTATTTTGAGAGCGAGCCCTTGGGTTTCTTCCCCTCCCCTTCTCTTAGCCTCTCAAAATATGAAGGGATTAGTTGATCAGATGCAACCTGACAGGCTGACTTAGTTTGTTTCATTTTCTCTTGTAAGGTTCACTCCTCTCTGTTGAACTCCAGGGGTCCCAGTGAACTCTGGTTGGGAAGGGTGGTGATCCTGAACCCCGGGAAGGTGTCTGTGCTACAGCTGAGCCAGAATGTCGCGACTCTGAGGCCTCATTTCTGAACTATACTCTGAGGAACCCCTGGGGTTCTTAGGGCCCTTCAGGGGTGAAGTTACGGTATTGGTTGGGGATAGGGAGGAAGTGTCTCCTTGAACCCCAGTCCATTTGAACCAGACCTGCTTTAGAGCTACTTTTCTATAGAAGCCACCCAGAGACAGCCAGGTTTTTCCTTCCCAGCCTGTTGGCAGAATAGACAGTTGAATGTTTTCTCTCAGATTCAGTGTGTGGACTCCAAATTGTCTCAAATGGTAGGAAACTTGCTTGTACATTCCCTCTACGTCATTTGCAAGGAGAGCAGATCCCTCACTAAGATCTCACTTTGGCTTTCCAGGTAAATAAGAATGACATCCGGAAGAAGGTGAGGCGCCTAATGGGAAAGTCCCATATTGGGCTTGTGTACAGCCAGCAAATCAATGAAGTGCTTGATCAGCTGGCAAACCTGGTAAGCATGTTTGCGCCGTCCCCTGGGCTCCCCTCCCACTGCACTTGTCGCCTCCCAGGCTGGGGCCTCGTCGCCTAATGCAGAGGCTTCCCCACGGGTCATTTCTTGGCCTGTATATTTTCAAGACCCCAGTTTTGAAAATAGGGCTTTGGGTCTAGGTAATGGTTTAGTCCTTCTGTTCTGGGATAGGATTCTCTGTACTAAAACCATCCTGGTGCAGCCATTTCAGCATGTGGTCTGTGGACTCCTAAGGATCCACGAGCTGAAGCCTATTTTCATAATAGTACTAAAATGTTTGCCTTTTTTAACTGGGTTGACATTCGCACTGATGGTACAAAAGCAGTGATGGATAAAACTGCTGGTTACGTTCACACAGTGAAGGCAGTGGTGCTAAACCATGCTAGGAGCCATGCAGTGCTCTCTCAGTTTAAAAAAAAAGAGAAAGAAAAATAGTTGCACTTATGAATGTTCTTGATGAAAGCATTAAAATCATTAATTTTACTAAATCTGATCATTGATTATACATCTTTTTAATATTTAATGTAACAAAATGAGAAATATACAGGAAGTATTTGTGCTGCAAACCAAAATATGATTGTTTCAAGGAAAACCAGTTTGTGACAATTTGAGTTGCAAGGTGAACTGTCAGTTTTGTTCATGGGACATCATTTTTACTTGGAAGAATGACTAATTGTGGTTATTCAGAGTTGGGTATTTATTTGGCAGACTTTTAAGCATGAAGCTTCCTGTTATTTAAAGGCTTTTGTAATGAGATTGATGATATTAATCAATGTGATTTTTTTTATATTCTCTAATGAAATGTGTCAATATTTGGAAGAGCTGCATTACTCCTTAAACCAGTATTTTCCAAAAGACCATTGGGTGGTGTTAGAAATTCAAGTATAAGTAAAGATCCACTCAAAATGCAAGGCAGACAAACGGATTTCATGTAACAAAGTACAAAATGTTCATTTTGATGGGTTTTCAGATTTCATATTGCAACTATCAGAAACTGTTACTTCTCAAGTTTTGGTATAATTACCAAAGAAAAATATGCATATTTATCTGGAAAATCTATTAAAATACTCCTCTTTCCAAATACATATCTGTGAGACCAGATTTTCTTTATATACCTCCCAAAGCAACATAACACAATGGATGGAATGCAAAAGCAGATAGGAGAATCCAGCTATTTTTTAAAGACAAACGTGAAAAATATAAAACAGTGCCAGTCTTCTCTTTTTTGTTTGTTGTTTTGGGAAATATGTTATTTAAAATATTTATATTACCATGTAACGGGAATATTATTAATGACTTTAAAATGAATTCATTTTTAAAAATTTTCAGTTTTAATTTCTAATATGGTAAATATCTATAAATATACCCCACATAAACCTAAGCTCTTGGGGGTTGTGAATAATTTTTAAGAGATATAGGAGTCCTAAGTCCCTAAAGTTTGAGAACACGTCCTTTGTGGCCTCTGACCAGCAGATGGCACTGTGCTAAGTAAGCTGATAGGAATTTAATTGCTGAAGTTGGGGTGGGAGCAGAATTCTTGGCCCAGAGAGCTCTGTGAGAGAAATATATGGATGTCCCTAACAGATCTCTCTTTTCTCAGAATGGACGTGATCTTTGTATCCGGTCCAGTGGCAGCCGGCACATGAAGAAGCAGACATTTGTGGTACATGCAGGGACAGACACAAATGGAGATATCTTCTTCATGGAGGTAAATGCTAGTTCATATGTCTCAAAGGGACATTTGAGAGTCACGAGGAACTTCTAGAGCTAATACCTGATTTCTCCCATTTAATCTTGTTCATCTTCATGATCCATTTATCATTAAATTGTCAGACTCTTATGCAAGTAATATAATGGATAATTCACCATCATTTGTTTTAAATAGATGTTGAGGGGCACCTGGGTGGCTCAGTCTGTTAAACGGCCGCCTTTGGCTCAGATCATGATCCTGGGGTCTTGGGATCGAGCCCCACCTCCGGCTTCCTGCTCAGCAGAGAGCCTGTTTCTCCCTCTCCATCTGCCTGCCACTCTGCCTACTTGTGCTCTCTCTCTCTGTCAAATAAATAAATAAAATCTTTTTAAAAAATTAAATAAATAAATAAATAGATGTTGAATACATGATGTAGTCGCATTGTCCGTAAGTCAGGACAACTTAAAATGATAGGCATTGGGAAGTCTTGCTGTCTTTTTTATCTCCTTCCTCTCAATTTCCCATCCCCCTCACCCCTTCTTCCTATAGGTAACCACTTCTGTGGTCTCCTTTGTATCTTCCAGTGGTATTTTATACAAACACAATAAAATATGAACAGAAGTTCTTCTTTTTCTTTTTTCTTACCGAGAGGTAGCACATCATATCCACTGCTCTGTACCTTGCTTTTCTCATCGAACATATCCTGGAGAGCTCTATGTCAGTACAAAAAGAGGGTTCTCATTTTTCCTTTTTTTTTTTTTTTTAGTTGAAGAAGAGTTGATGTACAATGTTAGATTAGTTTCAAGCGTACAGCGTAGTGATTCGACGATTCTGTACATTATGCAGTGCTCACCATGATAAGTGTGGTCACCATCTGTCACCATACATCATTACGATGTCATTCACTGTATTTCCTCTGGCTCTCATTCTTTTTATAGCTGTCTGGCACTCCATGGTGCGGCTGTACAGTAGTTGACTTAACCAGTCAGTATCTATGTGCGCGCCTGCTGCCCCCCATACATGCACAGGCTCTGTAAGAGCTCCCAGAGGCCGTCGTCACCCCACCGAAGGGAGAATGCATTGATGGCTTTGGCTGATAGGACTCAGACGTATCTCTTAACATATGATAGCTCCCCTCCCGCTTTGCCATTTATTTCGTTGAAGAAATGTGCCCCACGGAGTATCTCACATTCTAGACTTTCTGCTGATTGCATCTCTTTGGTGTTAACATGTTTCTCCATCACTTGTATTTTTTATAAACTAGTAGTTCAACCTAGGGGTTTGATGAGTTTCAGATTCAACATTTTGGCAAGAATACTTCATGGTTGGTGCTGTATGTTGCCTGTTGCCCCATATGGTCACCTCTCTCTCAGAGATCAGTAGGTTGAGATGTGGGCAGCCTGATCTTTTGTTCCCTGTGAAGTTCCTCATCAGTCCTTTGAGTTTGCCTATGGGTTTTTTGTTTGTTTTTCTTTGTTTGCTGTGCAGAATTTTTTTACTTTTTCTTTTTACCCTCCCTCCAGCTGTTGGCAGAATCTTTTTACTTTTATGTAGTTGAATTAATTATTTTTTTTAATAGTTTTTGGATTTTGAGTCATAGGTAGAAAAACCCTTCCTTATTCCAAGATTGTAAAGGAAATTGGCTATGGTTTCTTTATTGCTATATTTTTAATTCTAAAATGAATCTCTTCTACATAATTGTAGGAATCAAGTACAACTCCTATATAAAGTAGTAAAATTAAATAATTTTACAAGTATTCTGTTTTCTTTTGGTTTAGTTGAGTTTGATTTTTACATCCACAGCTTTTTGAACGAGTGGTTTATCAAACATGGGGCAGGGGTTCTGCCCTGAAGCAGAAACATGCATGTTGTTGTAGCCGAGAAGAGAGTCATTTTCATGTTACTGTGAAGTTCTAGAATTTGGCTAGGTGTCTCCTTGAGCTGAGGACTAACTTTGGACATCTGCACCACAAAGAGGTGGCAGGTGATTCTCACCCTCTCCTTTTCCTTTTAAAGAATAAATCCAGAAGATTCCTTGAAGTATAGGACTAACTCTCACCACCACACAGGGGAGCCTCATACAGAGTTCCTGGAGTATGGGTGGATCCATCACCTTATAGATGCCTCTCCCTTAAAGTGTCAAATAAGACCGTACCTCACTCACCCCATTAGCCACTTGCTACGCTTAGCCTGATTTAGCCTTTCTCATCCCTGCACAGCCTGCTGGCTGCAGGAGCACTGGGAGAGCAATTGCAAAGACTTTTAAAAATCCCCTTTATTACTTTTTTTTTTTTTTTTAATTGAAGTAGACTAGGGCACCTGGGCGGCTCAGTCAGTTAAGTGTCTGACTCTTGATTTCGGCTCAGGTAATGATCTCAGGGTCATGAAATTGAGCCCCTAGTTGGGTTCCACACACTGGGCATGGAGCCTGCTTAAGATTCTCCCTCTCCTTCTGCCCCTCCCTGCTTGTGCACGTGCGCGCTCTCTTTCTCCCAAAAATATAAGAGTAAGTTACAGAAGTAGAACAGTATATGCTGTGAAAGTTTCAAACCATATGGAAGTAAATGAAATAAAAAGTAAAAGTTTCCCTTCACTTCCTTCCATGCCATATCTCAGAGGTACCACTGTTAAAGAGTTTGGTGTGAATTTTAAAAACGCGTATTTGTATAAATACAATTTACTTATGTGTAAGTTTGTTTCAGTGTTTACAAAAGTGGTATCAAACTACAAATATTGAGATATAATTTGATTTTTAATTTATGGCTGACATCTTTCCGTGTCTACGTTACCTAAATCTGTCTCTGTTTTTTTCTTTTTTCTTTTTTTGTTTTTTGTTTTGTTTTGCTTTGCTTTGTTTTTGTTAAGTAAGCTTTATACCCAACATGGGGCTCAAACTCACAACCCCAAGATCAAGAGTTACATGCTTCACCAACTGAGCCAGCCACACACACCTGTCCCTGTTTTTTAAATGGGTGATTAATTTTGTTTTGTTTTGTTTTTTTAGCTATTAGGTGTTATATGGATGTATACCATAAGTCATTCAACTAGTCCCTCTCACTTTTTTTTAAATAATGTTTCATTGAATATACTTGAGAATGCACATGAGAATTTCTTTTTCTTTTTAAGATTTATTTTTATTTTATTTTGAGAGCAATGTGCGTGAGCATGCATTGGGGGAGGGGCAAAGGGAAGGAATCTTCAAGCAGACTCCCTGCTGAGCATGGAGCCCATCCTGGGGCTCTATCCCACAACCCATAAGATCATGACCTGAGCCAAAACCAAGAGTTGGGCACTCAACCAACTGAGCCACCCAGGTGCCCCTCACATGAGAATTTCTATAGGCTAGATTCTTAATGTGAAATTTCTGGATCAAGCTTATATAGATTTAAAATTTGTATGGATTCTGCCAAATACCATCCCAAAGACTATACCAGTTTATTTCTCCACCAGCAGCATGGGCGAGTATGGTACATTATTACTGTCATCTCTCTAGCCTAGAAATCATATGTTCTAAATACCTGTCCTGCCCCTCTCCTTTACATGGTGTTCTTAAAGGATTATGGAAAGTGGGGGTAGTAGTCTTCATTTTTCACCTGGAGAAAACTAGAGTCAGACTAGGGCTAGAATTCTAATTTCTACTCAGCTACTATATGACCTTTTAGAACCTTGTAACTCTTAGGTAGTAGATTAAAGCTGGTAGTCTTGTGTATTCCTTTTTTCTTCACTTATTCACTTAATATTTATGGAGCACATACGATATGCCAAGTACTCTGAGTATGTGGTTATAGCAGTGAAAGAGAGACATGGTTTCTGTTGCCCTTATGGGGTTGACAAGCCATTGGGGAAGTCAGCTAATGAAACAAAGTATCATGAAGTATGATGAATGTTATGAGAGAAGATGCTCAGGGCATAGGCAGGCAGGATGGGAATACACGGTAGAGGGTGTGGGAATTGTGGATGACCTCTCAGAAGTGACCTTTGAGCTAAAACTTGAAAGAAGTATGAATTAATGGCTGGAGCGGGGGAGGGGGAGAGTTCCAGGGGTATTTGAGGTGAAATGGATGGGACTCAGTGGTGTAGCGAGAGGGAACACAAGGAGTCTCACATCACTCCTTCATTTCTGGCTTCGGCAGCTGGGTGAATGGTGACACCATTTACTCAACTAGGGGACTCAGAAGGAGGATCTGCCCAGGAGGAAATGCTGACTTCACATTTGGACATGATGAGATCGAGGTGCTGCCTGTGAGCCCTCCACATAGAGAGTGGTTCAGGAACTCAGGAAGATGTATGGAGAAGGATTTGAGAACCATCAGTGGGGTCGTAATAATCATTGTTACATTTTTTTATATTATTATGTTGTTATAACATCAACTCTAGGGTACTTCCTATATGCCTGGCTTTGTTCTAAGAATTCTATGCACGTTGACTTATTTAATCTTCACATGAGGCAGTGTAGATGCAGAGCAGCTTGTTCAAGGTGACACAGCTAAGTAATGGGCAGCTGGAAACCTAACACAGTCTGATCTTAGAGGGAGAACATTGAATAAGAAGAGAATGTGAAGGGGGCACCTGGGTGGCTCAGTGGGTTGAGCGTCTGACTCTTGATTTTGGCTCGGATCATAATCTCAGGGTCATGAGATCGAGCCCCACATCGGGCTCCACACTAGACGTGGAGCCTGCTTAAGATTCTCTCTCTCGCTCTGCCCATCCCCATCCCCACTCATGCTCACTTGCGTGCACGCACACTCTCTCAAAATTAATTAATTACAAAGGACTTACAGTATTAAAAAGAGAATGTGAAGGAGGAGTTCGCCTTTTAATTATATCACCCTGTATTATTATAATATTTTTTGCGATGAGCGTTGCCCAAGTGTCACTAATGTGATTAATTATTGAAAAGATACATGCAGAACTGCGGCTGAGCCAGTATTAGAAAATGCCTTGGTTCCGTATTTTTCTCCTTGGTTAAGCCTGCTGTAATCCCTGCCTCTGCGCTCATCCACAGAGATGGTCCCTAAGGTTGGTACCTGGCGGCGGGAGACCACCCTCATAAGTCTAGAGCATATGAGAGGTGATAGACGTTGGGTGAGGTGAAAATTGAAACACTTATTGCTTCCCCCTCCCTGCTCGCCGGCTCCTCTCCGTGATTCCTTTTCTTTCAGCAAACCTCCCAGTGGACACTATGTCCAGCAGGTCAGTGTTTGTGTCCCCAGCGAAGGAGGACGGTGAGCGGGAGGCGGGGCAGCCGACCATGGGGTGCTCCCAGGCCCAGCTGCCCCGTGCTGCCCCGGGACAGGCCAGCGCAGCTTGCAGCGACGGAGGCTCTAAGTGACAGGCCCCGCTGACGCGCTGGGTCCTCCCGCAGGTGTGCGACGACTGCGTGGTGCTGCGCAGTAACCTCGGGACGGTGCATGAGCGCTGGTGGTATGAGAAGCTCATCAACATGACCTACTGCCCCAAGACCAAGGTGTTGTGCTTGTGGCGTAGAAACGGCTCTGAGACTCAGCTCAACAAGTTCTATACCAAGAAGGTACCAGGAGCTCTGTTCGGGCGGAGGGTGGGTGTTGAGGGCCAAGTGTCAAGTTTCTGGCAAGGAAGTTAAAATTCCACAGTCCATGTCGACAGCCCCCCTTTGGCCTCCGGCTGTTGTGTGGGATGCATAAAGCTGTCTCCGATGCCCGGTGCCCCGGCCTCGGCCCCGGCCCTTGGCAGGCGGTGGAGAGCAGAGTGGGGAGACCCTGGCAGGCGGGTGACAGGATGGTCCTCGCCCCTGTGCCGCAGTGTCGGGAGCTGTACTACTGCGTGAAGGACAGCATGGAGCGAGCCGCTGCCCGACAGCAGAGCATCAAGCCCGGTGAGGAGACAAGGACTCCCCGAGCAAGGGCCTTTTGTTTGTTTCCATCCATCCTTCTCAGTGTCAGAGGCCTGACAAGGAGGTCAGGCATGGGGTTCCCCAGCTCCCCAGTTAGCTGATGACCTCCTCCCCCACCGCAGGCCCTGAACTAGGTGGCGAGTTCCCCGTGCAGGACATGAAGACTGGTGAGGGTGGCTTGCTGCAGGTCACCCTAGAAGGGATCAATCTCAAGTTCATGCACAACCAGGTAGGTGGGAGTGGCAGCACCGGCTGCCTGGCCCAGTTCTTCCATCTGCAGTAAGGCTCGGTGTCCAGGTCCCAGTGCTTTCCAGTGAGCCTGCGGGCCTTTGGGGCTAGTGGGAGGATGGGAGCAGCTGGACCAGAGAGAGAAATCAGAAGGAGGGCACAGTGACGTTGGCAACCACCTGGAAGGTGCAGTGGGGAGCCTCTGTGGGAGGCGGGGAAAGAGAGGGAGCCGTGGTGGCTAGGCTGCCTCCGTCCGTTAGACTCCGCACAGTGTGAGTGGGAGCGTCTCACTTGGCCCTTCTTCGCACAATGTCTGCCTTCCCTTATTCCCAGGGGGTGCTTCTGCTTGGTGGTTTTGCTTTGAGAGTCTAGACCAGCTGATCTCCCCGCGTGATTCTGGTGTGCGTGAAGCTTGTGCGCGTGCGTGTGTGCGTGCGTGTGTGCGTGTGCGTGTGTGCGTGCGTGTGTGTGTGTGTAGCTTGTGTCTGTCCTATCTGGAGTATGTGTGTTTATTTGCCTATTTCTCCTGCTGATTCTTCTTCCTAGTCTTTTTGTTCCTCTGAGTGTCCCCACTCTGTCCCCTCCTCCACAGGCCCCATTCCCCTTCTTTTGACTGGGGAGCACTTCAGAATACATCTTTCTCTCATTGTGATTCCACCATAGGAGCTGACTTTTTTTTTTTCTTTCTCTTGGTCTTTTAACACAGTGTTACTTTTTCTCTCAGTGGACATTCCTTAAGCTAATCCTTTCTGAGGCCAGCGCATCAGCCCAGGTCCGTTCCCCGTTCTGACTCTTCACACAAGTGCCTTCCCTCCCCCTTCTCTGACGTCCTGGTTCCTTTCCTTGAGGCTGTGAGCCAGGTCTGAATGTGTGAGCACCACAGCCCCGGGCCAGGCAGCAGACACTCAGGGGAGGTGACCCTCTGGACTCCGTGGCTTGCTTCCTCCCTTTGCCATTTTAGTTTCTTCTTTCAGGAACCCAACCGGGCAGCTTCGGTGTGATGGGAAACAGCTGCTCAGGCAGTGTATTTCCAGCAGTACGTTTACTATCCGTGATTTTAATATATTAAATAGCATACTTGAGACCTTCGGGTCAGCCCAAGGAGAGGTTTACTGGAGTACTTTTCTGGAGCACGAAGGTGTCAGCACTTCTTGGGGAGCAGGCTTCTGACCGCCTTTTAGTGCCGTGGCTTCCCCTGATGCCTCACCTTCAGAAGAGGAGATCTTGTTAAACAACAGCCAGCCCCCTTCTGGGTCCCCCGCTCTGGACCAACCCAGTGTCTAACCAGTCCACGGATATGTACAAGCTGGTCTGTAGTTTAAGGCTTTGCCCTAGAAGAGCGATCCGGCAGAGAGGGGAGTCAGGCCCCGACCGATCACAAGAGAACAGCCGTGGGGTCCATCTTCTACCACGAATGGTCCGTTGGAGTTGAGGAAGCATTGGACCCTCTGGTGGAGTCCTACAGGGTGGGGTAACAAACGGATCTTTGGAGTCAGGATGTGCTTGGATTCAGAGCCCAGCTTCATTACTCATGGGCAGATAAACTTTCTGATCCTGTGTGCTCCTCTATAAAACGAGGGTCGTACTACACACTGGGCCACATGGATTGTGAGGATTGCAAATAGGATTTGTAGGACTCCTAGTTGGACTCCTAAGCAATAGCCGTTATTCTCTCTCCGTGTACTTCTTGGGAGAGCCTGGATCTTGTGTCAAGGAAGATATCAACATCTCCCACCCCAAGGACAATCTGAGGGGAGCTTTGCACCCGTGCCAGCCCTCTGCGCCGGAGGAGGATGCATGGAAGGGTAGAGAGCTGATGGGCTGAGCGGGGAGACCCCCGGGGCACCGTGTCCTCCAAGCGCTGCCCTGGGCAGAGGGGATGGGCGGGCAGCCCAGGACAGCAGAGGGGCCTTCGGGTTGGGTTTGACCATTAAAACTAACGCCTTCATTTCTCTCCCATGCTTTCTCCTCCGGCCAGGAGCGGAAGGTACATGCCCTTTCTGCTGTCTTCGCTTCTTAGCGCTTTTGAGTTGCGTGTGTGTGGATTCTCCGGCCCTCGCTCTGGGAACTAGGTCTTCTGTGTGGGGGCGGGGCTGTAGCCGGGAGAGCGGGCAGTTGTGGGGCAGGGGGAGAGCCTCCGGGCCTGACCCCACCCTCCCTCCCTCTCTTGCAGGTTTTCATAGAGCTGAATCACATTAAAAAGTGCAATACAGTCCGAGGCGTCTTTGTCCTGGAGGAATTTGGTAATTACACTATTTTGCTCTTAGGTCTGGACTCACATGGCAGTAACTCAAACCTCGGCGCTCCAGAGGAGGGACTAGAGGCAGAGAGAAGAACCACCTCTGCAGAGTGGTCAGGAGGCTTAGGAGTGACAGGGAAGAGAAGGGAACCCGCGATGAGCGAGGGGAAGGAGGAAGAAGGAAAAACGAGACAGCGGCTGCTAGGGAATGGGTCTCAGAAGAGCAGGTGGCCTTAGACGGGGTTAGAGGTCAGAGACGCTCCTGTGGAGGCTCCGGGAGCGGGCGCCGCCTTCCCTCTCGGCCAGCTGGCGGTCAGAAAGTTCTGGGGCAGAGCAGATGGGCAGTTTCCAAGCTCTGCTGTGTTCGTGTCGCCTGCTGAGCTCCTCCTAGCAGCCCGGGGCTCCGTCCAGCCACCCCGGTGCCGCCCTGGTGTCCGCCTGGCCTCTGTGCGGGAGCGGGGCCGTGCGGTGGCCTGGGCAGCCTCACTCGAGAGGGCAGGGAAGCCTAGTGGGCCTCAGAGGCAGGCAGGGCAGTTGTCGCGGGAGGCTGGCTGCCAGCCTCCCTGCATCCCTGCAGCCAGGCGCCGACGCTGACCGGTGGTGTAGTGGGTTCTCACCCTGGGGCTTTGAGTTCCTGCTGTGTTTGTGCTTCATTCTTTTGTGCCCCTCATCGCTGCTATGAAAACCTTCGTTCTCCAGCAGGTAAAGTGACCTCGGCTCGTGCTGCCTCCCCCCCAGGCCCCTGCCTGGGCCCTGCCGTGGGCGGGACGGGCTCCCTTCAACCAGACCAGCTGCTCACACTGCCCTTCCCCCCCCCCACTCCCCACCCCCCCATCCCCGTGCTGGCTCACTGGTTCTGAGTTTTCTCCCCTGTGTGTTCCCTTCTCTCTTCTGCCAGAGAGATATTTGGGGGAATCTTCCAACTCAGGAGAAGGACCTGGGCTTCTTGCTCTACCTATGATGAATTTATTCCCTGTTAACCCTGGGTCCCCCCGAATTCTACCTCCCAGGGTCAGAAGAAGGTGTGGCCAACTCTCATCCTACCTTTTCTGGCCCCCAGGGGGACGCCACGCCCCTCTGCTCCCATCTCCAGGGGCCATCAGGATGGCTGGGCCCCTGGGGGGGCCTTCCTCCTTCCTCTGGCCAAGCAGAACCCCTGCATGGCTGGGGCAGGGGTGACTTAGTCTTGCATTCTGGGCTGTGGACATGTGTGTATTTTGCCTGATGCTCCCTGTCACCTCCCTCCCCGGGTGCTATACTCGCCTGTCTTCTGCTCGGTGTGTCTGCTCCAGAGCCCTCTGACGCTCTCCCTCACACAGGCAGGCCTGGGCCTCTCCTGCCACTCAGGGAAGGACACTTACAAGTCTGCTGGGTTTTAGTATCATGCCACTTCTTCATCCAGCCTAAGGACCCTCTGCGTAGGGGCTGGGAGTACAGGGCACCATGCTTAACACGAACAGAGTGTCGGGCTGGTAACAGGGATGAGTTCTCGGGCATCTCAGCAAGGTGAGGCGCAGGCTAGAGACAACTCTCTTCACCCGACCAACATGGGGGATCGCCCCACTGCAGCTCCTCGGGGCCCTGGACATTAGCAGTGAGCAGGCTGGTGAAAGACCAGCCCGCTCCTGTGTGGAGGCTCTCCCAGAAGCGGCTAGAGTCGTGGCCATCGAGCAGGGAGCCCCAACAGACCCCACAGGTCTGGCTGCGGAGTCTGGGGCAGTGTCCTCTCATCCAGCAGCGGCTGGGCAGGTGCCGTCAGAGCGTAAGCTGCTGCAGCCCCTGGGACAGGCCACCGTGGGGAAGGGGACCCTGGTGCCGGGCGCTGCCGCCTGGGGGAGCCTGGCATATCGCTCTTAGTTTTGAACTTTCTGTTTTGTCTCTTGCCCGTCCGGTTTTAGTTCCTGAAATTAAAGAAGTGGTGAGCCACAAGTACAAGACGCCAATGGTGAGTATGCCACCCAACCCCGCAGTCCAGTCTGCTCAGGGCTCCCTGGGGACCGTCACACAGGAGTGGGGCGGGCCCTCTGAGAGCACAGGGTCAGGCGGACTAGGGATGGTTGGAGAGCTGAGTTTGGTCTGGAAGCTGAAACGAGTCTTCAGCCCTGGGAGAGACACACACACACACACGCACACACACACACACACACACGCACACACACACACACACACAGACCCCCTGTCCCAGCAGTCAGCTGTGAGACTGAGCCCAGCGCGAGGGCAGAGTTTTCTGCTGGTCAGATCTCCCCGCGTGGAGATGTGGGAATCTCAGGAATTTGATCGGTCTGGTTTTTCTCTCTCCTCTAGGCCCATGAGATCTGCTACTCTGTGTTGTGTCTCTTCTCGTATGTGGCTGCAGTTCGTAGCAGTGAGGAAGATCTCAGGACCCCACCCCGGCCCGTCTCGAGCTGATGGGAGGGGTTAAGAGCCCCCAGTTCAGGGGGTGCCCTTGCGTCTTCTGCTCACCAGGGCACGATGCTGCGTGTGTGTTCTCTGCGAGCCCCTCACTGTGGCTTAGTTGGTTCACAGTTGTGTGTCTCCGTGTGTCTTAGTGTCTGTCACAGGGCTCAGCGGGTTTCCTCCGCCTGCTCGCTCTCCACTCCCAGACCAGCCTGCTGTCCCCTCAGGGCTCAAGAGCCATGTGTGTCTGTCTTTGGGGCCAGTGGCTTCTGAGAACTCTGAGCACAGTATGAGCCCACCGTTGCGTGTCCCTGAGACATTCGTGTTGTGGTTCCTCATCCTTGGCGTTATGAGCTCCAGTGCAGGACTCTGGCTCTCCGTCCTCTGGGGCCCAGCGTGCCTGGGTGTCGGGTGAAGTCACATTTGGTACCGAGGGAGGGAAGCTTGAGGCCTGTCCGCGCAGACGAGAGGTGGGCAGGGAAAGGCCGGGAGAGTCACGGGGCAGCAGGGTGAGCAGCAGCCTCCCCTCTCACGCATTTCCCAGGCTGGCGGCTGCTACCTGCCGTGGCCCCTGCAGGGGGGCAGCACTGAGGGGCTCCCCTTTGCCGAGCAGCAATTTCCCTAAGGTCTGCCTGGCCTTTGGCCTGAGAGAGCAAAGTGGTTGGGCTGGGAGAGCCGCAGAGGCCCCTGGCTCCTGTGCCCAGGGAGTAGCGTAGGCCGGGGCCACGTTTGGTGTACGTGGCCCGTGTCTGCAGACAGCGGCCCCTGGCCCTGGGTGTCAGAGCGGGGGATGGCCTGGGAGTGGGCAAGAGAGGGTTGTACATAGTTCACCTCTACGTTATTTATAGAAAATGTACAGATGTGTGAATGTGAAATAAATGTCCTGAACTCGCCTTGGGCTCCTGCCTGCCTTATATTTAACGCTGTCTGCTCTTGGCCCGGGCCTGAGGAAGGCTGTCCCTGGACTCTACAAAGGCCCCTCAGGCCTAAAAGGAGAGAGATGAGATCATGGCCCTCCGAGTCCTGGCGTGCTGGAGGCCCAGCCTCCCACCCCACTGACCCAGCAGGGCCCCTCACCTGGCTTCTTGGGCGCCCAGGGAGAGGTTGGGGAGGGCTTCCTGCCCTCTGCCCCCTAGCCCTGCAGGGGGCTGCTGAGCTGAGAACTGGCTACCAGAGGAAGCAGCCAAACCCGGCTAAGACACCTGAGCAGAGTCATGTAGCAGTGAAGGAAAAACCAAGGCTCCCCTTGCCCCTCACAGGCGTGGTCTGGAGAGGGGGTGTGACTTGGGGTGTGACTCGGACAGGGCCTGGAGCCCCGAGCTCTGAGCTCTTGGCCAGAAGTGCCTTGGGTTGGGTAGAACTCGGACAGAAGCAACCCTAGGACCAGGCTTCCTGGAATTGTTTTTTTCTATGCCATGGGGAAACCTCTGGCACTCCCTACCTAGGACAAGAAAGACCATCCGCTTCTTTTTTTCTTTTCTTTTTTTTTTTTTTTTGAGAGAGAGCAGTGTGGGGGGCAGGGGAGGAGAATCTTAAGCAGGCTCCACACCCAGCATGGAGCCCCATGCAGGGCTCGATCTCACAACCCTGAGATCCTCACCTGAGCCAAAATCAAGAGTCCGATGCTTAACCGACTGAGCCACCCAGGTGCCCCAAGACCATCCACATTCTGTTAGGGCACCTCTGAGACCCGTTGGCTTCCTCTTCCCAAAAGTAAACTGATGACTGGATTTAGGCTCCCATGGGGGAAGGAAGAGCAGAGGAGGGCCCTGGTTCCCAATATCTTGTGCTGGACAGGACTGCCCTCTCCTACTGGGAAACAGGTGTGGAAGGGCCGTGGGCTTCTTGTGCACTGGGACCCCAAGGCAGCCTGGGGCGGCTCCATTCCAGGCCTTATGGGCCCAGACCCACACTGAAGTTCAGCTCCGCCCCACGTCCAGGCTGCTGTGAGCACAGGTCAGCAGGACGAAGAGCGTACAGAGCACAGGGGACCAGGCAGGAGAGCCTTGGGTGTCGGCTCTGTGGCTTATACACCTCTCTCCATCACTGCCCCTTGCTTTCCTCACTGGAAGAACATACGCGGTGGGGGAAGACAGAGGTTTCTTCTAGTGTTTTGTGAATTTAGGATTCCCCTCTCACCCGGGAGACAGAATACCTGCCTCAGTTTGCTTGGAAGGTCAAGTGTATTTCCCTGGGCTTTTTGTGAAAACAAACACATTGGACAAGAAGAGCCAGCTCTCTGAGTGCGGTCGTCTTTTATTGCCCTTACCCTTTGAGAAGACACCGCAGGCCAGAAAGGCCTGTCCCCAGCCACCATCTCCTGAGCCCACCAACTTTCTGCCCCAAAGTCCTGAGAGCTTCCAGGGGGAGCTCAGGTGGTTCGGTCTGTGCGGAGCTCCAGGCCTGCTCATCTTCATGGCCCTGCCATCCTGATGCTCCCCCAGCCCAGCCCCCGAATACACACTTGAGCACACACATCCAACAGCAGGAAGGCGGCTTGTTCAGCGTCCTTCCAGGCTCCCGGGACATGGGCCGGCATCCTGCAGCACCTGTAACACAGGTTCCCTTGTGAATGCACTTGACTGAAACCCTGGGAAGAGGCACCTGTGCCTCTGTTTCCTGATGGCCACCCCCAAACCGAGGGCCAGGGCTTGGCCTCTGACTCGGGCCGGGGGCGTCGGGATGGCTTGGAGGACGTACCTGGCCGTCTCCGGGGAGCCAGCTGGGTCACTGAGGCACTGCAGGGGAGAAGGAGGCCATGCCACATGTGTGTTCCCTCTCCCAGCACCTTGCATGTCCTCCCCCCTTGCATGTCCCCCCCCCACAGGCTCCTGGGAGGCCGAGGGGGCAGCTGTGGCAGCAGAGCCCAGAAGCCAATGCCCACGTTGGACATGACAGGGTCATTGCTCTTTCAGCCAGAACAGCTGCGTGGGCCAGGCCAGCAGGGTCCCAGATGATTCCCTGCCTTCTCCACCACCCCAGACCCTGGTCCCATGGGCTCCTCACCTCGTACTTCTAGGCGGCACTCACACTGTGCCTCGCCTTGTAAGTTGGTGGCCCTACAGACATAGATGCCCCCGTCAAAGGGGCAGGGCTTTCTAATCTCCAGGGTCAACACTCCCTGCTTGCTGAACATGCGGAAGCGGGCATCTTCCCCCAGGTCCAGGCCATTCTTGAACCAGGAAATCTTGGGCTGTACGTCAGGTAATGGGAGGAAGGGAGACCATCTCAGGTTGACAGGAGACCTCGCGGGAACCTGTTTCTATTCTAGGGGCTCCCACTGGAGTCCACACGATACCCAAGCAGGGAATGAACAGGGAGCCAATGGAGACTGCCAAAGGCCCTCTTCAGGCCGAGGGGCCTGGCCCTGAGCCCCCGTGGGATAGAACGCAGGGAAAGGCTGGGGAGAGGACTGCTGGTGGTTGGAGCCTCTGAACCCTGCCTCCTGAGTCGGCCTGGCCCAGGACCCCAAGCTCCTTACCTTGGGGCTACCCCGGACAGCACAGCAGAGAGTAGCATTGTAGCCCGCGATCACTGAGCGGCTCACCAGGGGGTGGGTGAAGCTCGGGGCCTCAGAGAAGTCCAGGGCCTTATAGTTGGGGGGCTCATACGTGATGCCTGTTGGTGATAGGACTTTGTACCAAGAGTGTCACCCCACATTTGGCCCCCTCCCTGCTCCCATCGCCTCCCTGCCCCAGCTCCTGCTGGGGGTGGGAGTAAAGGTACAGCACCTGGTTTGGGGATAAACACAGGCTCCTTGGTGGTGGCGGCTTTGTCACTGGGTCCCACCATGTTATGGCTGAAGACCCGGAAGTAGTAGCCATTGCCAATGATGAGCTCTGACACCACGCAGTGAGTACGGCGGTAATGCTCCAAGACAGTGAACCACTCCTGGGGGTGTGGAGGAAATGGGGGCTCTCTGGGGGCCGGCCCTACTATCTGCCAGGGGCCTCTTCTGGGTAGCCCTGCTGTCTGCACCCCAACTGTGGAGGGAACCAGGTCAGAGAGGGAGGATGAGTGGCAGACCCATTCTAACGACTGAGGCGGGAGCTGGGGCCAGGTCTGCCTGGCCCTAGGCAGGGTATATATGGGGCACCCAGGACCCCAGGCTCACCATGGTCTTCCTGTCGGCTTTCTGTACTGTGTACCCCCAGATCTCTGTGTTGCCATCATCTTGGGGTGGCTTCCACTCCAGAGCCACGTTGAAACCCCATGCTTCAATGACCCGAATATCCTGGGGAGGGCTTGGCTTGTCTGCAGGAGAGAGCCCAGCTGGAACACACCTCCTGACCTGGCCCGCTGCCTTCTGCAGGGGCTCCGGGCATCCCAGAGGAGGGGCCCCAGCGCCACGCACCAACGATCTGCAGGACCAGCGTGGCCTTGTCCTCCATGTTCTCAATTCGCAGCACCACCTGGTAGGTGCCAGAGTGGGCCCGGCGAGCAGCCCGGATGAACAGGATGGTGTCTGTGGGGCTGTTGCGGATGCTCACCTCGTCGCCTGCCAGGGGCTGCCCCTCTTTGGTCCAGGTCACCTGAGGCCGGGGCTTGCCCTGTGGGGAGGGACAGCTCACCCCTGAGCCTGGCACGACTGGGTGGCATTTCAGGGTCTGGTCAGCCCCGAGACACATCTCCCTGCTAGGCATAGATGACACGCGGTCGCGGGGGGGGGGGACAGGGAGCATGGCCGGCCCTACCTGGAAAGGGATGAGGAGGTTCACGGGCTCCCCAACCTTTCTCTGGATGGTCTGGCGCAGGTGCCTGGGCAACTGGAGCCGTGGCCGCTCTGTGGGTGCCAAGTGGGTGGCTCAGCAAGGGGAAAAGCTCTCCCCGAGGAGCGCCAGAGCCCCTCCCCTCCGGAGGCAGAGCAGGAAAACGCCCCTCCCTTAGTTCCCCCAGCCCCAGCCCTGGCCCCAGATCATCTACAAAATCCCTGCTTCCACCTCGGCCTCACCACACCACTCTGAGAGGCAGGGATCAGAGAGGGTGAGCAATGGGTTCGAGGTCACACAGCTAGCAAGTCACAGGCCAGGATGCAAATGTAGGGTTTGGGTCTCTACCCTATCCCTCAGGCTGTTTCCACCGGTCTGCTGCCTCTTTCCAATCCTTACATAATTGATCCTTTGCTGGGAATAGAAGAATGGGAAGTGGATCCCAGATGGGCCAATCTGATGCTGAGTCATGAGCACAGGGACAGTACCTGTGGAACTGAGAGGCTCCTAGAACAGAGCTCAAAGACAATGGTGTAATGACCTCCACGTTCCCTGTCCCAGAACCCTGTCCCGGAAAAACTCAGGAAGCCCTCTCCAAATATTTGCCCTGGGCCTGGGGCACGAATAAAGGCTCCGACCCTCCTGTCCCTGCACAGCGTTCGGTCCTTTTTCCCAGCAGGGGCTCCCTGGATGT